CGAACCATTGTCGATAACGAGCTGTCATAATAAGAGAGCAGAGGAAGAGCATCAGCGACCGTCCTCGATGGACATGAGGAACGAGTAGCGAAAGAGCCCGCGCGCACATAGGGGCGTATGTGCGTTACGGATGCTGGCTTGTGCGCAGCAATCGTGTCACAATATGCATGGATGGATACTCACAGCTGCGACTTCCTCTGCACGCGAGCGTTTGCAAGAAGAGACAACGGGTCAGTAAACATGTTCCGAGGGTACACTTTCGTGGATGCATCGTATCGATGCGCTGTAATCCGCCTACTTATGCCCGACTGACCGAGCCGGACCAAGCGGGAGAGACATTCGAATGCGCTGGTATGTGCTGCATGGCACCAACTCTCCCGCTGGATCCAACCGCAGCGCCACCCGCCCAGCGTCCTGTTAGCTGGCATCCATGAGCAACTCTTCGGCCATACCAACAAGCAGCCATCCACACCGTCTTGCCCTGCGTGAGCACCGTGTTACCTCCCTCGGCCCCGCGCGCGTGCCAGTGTTGATGACTCGGGGGGGGGGGAATCCGGCGACGTGGGGGAGAGGCGACTCACCCTCCATTGTGGGAATACAGGCGTGCGGTGCGTGTGGGAAGCTGTGTACGTCGGCGTCGTTCGTTACTGCGGCTGATGGAACCAGGCGCCTTTGTTGTCTCCTAGAGTCTAGGTGATGGAAGTGGGATGGGGAGAGGAAGGAGGAGGAGGAGCTCGAGAAGAAAGGAGGGGGGTGGGCGGGTGAGCAGTGCAGTGCAACTGTGGCGACTGGCGAGATTCGTTCGAGACTGGGCTGTGGGGTGGGTGTTCACTGGCGCAGCGCACTGCAAGGAAGCCGTGTTGTTCGCGCGCGCGCCCACACAGGCCCAGTGGCCCACTAGTCCAGCCCAGTCCAATCTAGTCCAGTGCAGTGCTCCCTTTGCCTTGCTGGCGCGCGCGCGTGTGTGTCCGTGCGCACTCAACAGAGGCCAGTGGAGAGCGCGCGCGCCGCAACTCTCCCATTAGAGTTGCCCCCTCCTCCAAAATGGGAAGCACAGCACTGCGCACGCGCCACCCCCTGCTACTGGACCTTTCCGCCCCGGCACCTGCCTGCCAGAACGAACCTAGGCTGTCACCATCACGGTCAACGTTTGCCATCATCCTGGTCATGGTCCAAGCCGTGCATGGTCAGGCCGTCGTCAGGAATCTCATCAGCTGCAAAGCCGATCTATCACCGGTTGTTGCTGCTGAACATGCACTAACTACGAAAAACCATGATTTCTATATACGGGGGTATCTCAATTCTCAAAATAGTGGGTATGGATCGAGTCTGGATTCGCCGCTACGCCATCGTCGTCGTCGTCATTATGATGCCCCATCATGCAGGAAGGAATGCGTAGAGAAATGGAGAATGCAGAAATCCAGCTTGCCTGCACGCGCCTCACAAAACAGAAGGGAGCAGCGATGTCATCGAGTCATCCTCGTCCGTAGACGTCCTCTCGAGCTCCCAGGGCGCATTGGACCGTATCGCTTGCATCGTACCGTCCAAGCCGAGCCATCCGTGCGCTGCGCAAAGAGCAAAACAAATGGACATCAGGATGCAGGTTCATATGCGCCATCTGATCCATGTTACTGTACTGCACTGCACTTACCTGGACAGCCGATAAAATATGTCCGCATTGCATTGGAGAAGCGCTCCGCATACTCGGCAGGCGGGAGGATGGTCACGTTGCTCTTCCCGTCCTGCGTCTTGAGTGCCTTCTTCGAAGAGCTCTCCAGTTGCTTGGCGAGCGTGAACGCGCCAATGTAGTCGACGATGCGCACGCGGAAGGACGACGTGATGCGCTCCTGCCCTTCGTCGCCCGACTCGCGCACCCCGCTCACTTTTGGTAGCGGCTCCACGACGCCGACGAGCAGCGAGTAGTCCATCACGTTGGACGCCGTCAGGAATGCCGTGTCGTTGCGCAGCGCTTGCTGGAATGTGTCCATCTCTGCTTCCAGGATGAATGCGCGCTGCTTGTAATCTTCCGAAGCGAACGAATGAAACGAGTCAGATTTATCATATGAAGCGACCCGCTTTGAACATAAAGTGCAGATGTACCACTCACTTTCGATCCACTCGGCGTCCCACCAGACGTGCCCATCCGGATTGTCTCGGTAGTTGGCATTCTTGATGCGGCGATCGCGGATGCCCTTGAGATCAAAGCGCAGCATCCTCATTCCGGCCTTTTCACTCTTCTCTGCATCGTCGAGGTCCGCAAACAGATTCTCGAGGATCATGACGTTTATCTTCAGCTTCGTCTCGTGTGTCTCAGTGTCCTTGACCTTGATGCTGTACACTCCTGCAATCTTGACCAGCAGGGTTGGCTCCTGCTTCGTCATGCTCGCCGCCATGTAGCGAATGTAAGACGGCGCAAATTCCAAGAATGCCTCCTTTTCATCGACGGACCAAACAGTGACCAGCTGCTTGGCCAGGAACCTCCCGTCTGCCGTTTTGTAGAACGCACTGCGGCTCTTGCCGCCAGACGCGGTCCACGAGTGGCACCTGCTGAGGCTTTCCGCGAAGCCATCGAGCGAAACGCCCCACTTTTCGCGCAGAGCTGCAAATTCCTCTGCGAACCACGACACACACGAGACCTTCGTCTTGCCGTGGTACAACGAGTGCTTGATGTGTGGTGACTGCGGATGCTTGTCCTGTAATCGCGAAGAAGGCATTGCTCGAGACGATGTCCCTTTACCAGTGCTCGGCGGGGCGCAGCTTGCCGTCGTGCCGGCAGTGGAAGAATTGCTCTCCTGGAGCAAACGAGAGCCCGTGGTGGTCGGCTCACTGGCTTCAGTTTTACTCGCGTCCTGAGCGCCGGTGCCGTTCGTAAAGCCCGATCCGACCGACCAGATGGCATTCAAAGCGGAAGGCGCAATCGACATCCGCGTGGTCTCTTCTTGCCGTTTCTTTCGCGCCGGCTCAGAGTCGTCCTTTGGGGTGGTCGTGTCTGCTAGCGAGCTTGTTTCTACGCTACTTTCTTCCCCTGCACTACTTGCGTCGGCTTCGTGACGCATGAAAATGCTTGCGAGAGACTTTGGGCGTCTGTGTACCTGAGTGATCCGCGCTCGGAATGTGCTATTAGTTGCATTCGAAGACACGGTACCGCTTTCGATTGTGCTGGTCGTGGTGCCAGCTTCGCCTATAGTATGATCGGTGTCAGGTGCCGGCTCAATCTGAATGTTTACTTCGATAGCAGCACTGGCGGCCTCGACGTTCTTCGGTTCCACCAAGGCGGGTGACTTGTCATCGACAAATGATGGGCCTTCGTTTTCCACGTCTTCCTTCCGTTCGGATGGTTGGGAGATGGACGACGCCACTCTACGCAGTTTGAGCGACAGCATTGAGCCCTCTTTGTTTCGTTTCTTGCGCTTCATGACAGCATTAACGGGCTCAGGCCTGTAGAAAACCTCGTCCTGATCAGGGTCAAGCGCATCCGGGTTGATGCGAGACGAATTTTTGGTGGATGTGCTCCTGGAGGATATGGAGGAGCCTTTGGCCGAAGGTTCTGAAACACCCGATCGCCATTCGAGAATAGCTGCATCCGGCTCGTCGTGTTGAGCTTTTTGAACCACAATCTCTCGCTGAAAGTCGCGCGAGGTGAGCGAAAAGGCAATGATGGACAGCGGCTCATCTTCGCGAACGAGGACGGAACTTCCAGGAAATGGGTGCTTGCCTTGTGCGAAGTATTCCGGCTCTTCGAAATTAGGGCTGCCCATTGCTTTGAGCTCATCTTTAGTCAAATGCTTCCGGGTCCATGCGCTTAAACGATTCTTGGCTGAGCGTGCGCAGTCGTAAAAGACCTTTCGCACATCGTTGATGTAAATAGCTAGTTGAAGAAACAAAAAGTGTAAGTCGTTGCAGCATAACAATGAGCCCTCCGTTGTTGAGCTCACGTTTTGTCTCTTTCAGCATACCATAGAGCCCAAACTCATCTGTGCGAAGCGACGTTCTCAGTCGCGTGAGCAGCGCCAGCGGATGCCAGCGCACGCTATGTGTGCTCGCTGTGTCCTCAGTACCATCTTCGCTTTGCCAGAAAACGCTTTCGGTGTATTCCGAGCCCGGCGTCGAGACAGAAGAGAAGCTGGTTTTGTTGCGCAAGCGCAGTTTGATAGTCTTCCCGTGCTCGTCCAGCTCACGGGCGACGAATATGCCTTCCATCGCGGTCAGTTGATGTTTTACAGATGAGAAGAAGGCTTGGATCTCCAGTCGCGTCTATATTCATATTCGAGCGAGCGAAGCCGATCAGCACTATTTCACATGGGGAGCCATTTCAGCACTTACTCCAGCATTCAGAGAACGATTGATAGGCTCTGGAGACTGCATCAGCGCAGAAGTGCGATCGAGCGGAGCGAGAACCGGGCCTTGCAAGTGCAAGTGGAACATCTTGAATCTTCGAGTGGACACTTTGACGAGGGAATCTCCCAAACGGAAGAAGCGCAAGGGCGGCAGACGAGCATCGTTTTCTGGATCCTTGTTTGGCGGCCAGGGTCGATCTGTCGATACTTCTTGCTCCTGCAAGGCTGCGTTGTACATCATTGCCTCAAGGAATTTACTGAACGACATGAGATAGGTCGCCTGGGAAATTCGCAAACTCGTAAGCTTCTTACATTGCTTTCACCGCGTTGGCCGGCGCTTCTTACCTCTGACATTGGTCGCATGGGGCTCTGTTTGCCCCGTCCAGGAGATGCTCTCCACATGTAGATGCCCTTCTTGGACAGCAATGTTCCATCCGCTGTTTGGCTGGCGTCAACGCGGACAGCATTTTCAGCAGCTGCGAGCGCCTTCCGAGCTTGGTCGTGATCCAGGTGAAGGATCGCAGCGACGGCCTTGATCTCTGAGTCGTTTTTTGCTCCAACTGTGGGTTTCTCTGCTTCTTTCACTTGGCTTAGAACGGGAGCTTTGGCTTTTGGCGTCACGCTGGCTTGAGCTTGCAGCGAGATGAGTCGGCCGCCGTTGACGTAGTGGACAGCAACTTGACGCACGGGCGGCACCACTGCCTGTTGCGCAGACGCAGAAGACTTGCTCTTCGCCGTTGGTTCTTGCTCCAACGGCATCGCAGCAGCCATTAAGCAAATTTCTTCGATCACCTCGCCGAGGGGCACATCTTTCAGCGAGCCGTGCTTGCTGTAGAAGCGCACGAGGTCGTGTTGCCCCGCAACCGCAGGGTAAGTAGCGGCAGAAGACTTGGCGACGTCCTGCTTGGATGCCACAGAGCATGCGCTCACTTCGCTGGTAGCACTGCGTCCCGACACGGAGCGATGCGACGCCGAGTCGGAATGATACTTGGCAGACGGTGTGTCGGCAATGTGCAAACCAACATTTTGGCGAGCACCGAGAACGTCCGTCCCGGACGGCGCTTGCACCAGGAGACCAAAATGTTGGTGTAGAACGAAGTGTTCAACATAATCGAACACTTGTGGAGCAAGGTGCTGTTTAGAATCATTAACGCGAGGCGAAACGGAAACGAAAGCACGTGCTGGCTGCTTTGCGAACCTTGGGCGTTCCCACCTGGGCAGAGGCGCAGCTGCTTGCAGTGCTGTGGTAAGGGTATCTTCCGACTGCAGGACGACAATGCTCGCCGCTTCGTCTACTTGCTTTACGTGCTTCTCGTCGCGGCCTCCAGATTTGGAAATGATTTTGAACAGATGAGCAATTTTGCCCCTGTGCTTTCTCGGCGACGATGTACTGTCGGGGCGCGTCAGCGAGCGCGGCAAGCCATCAGACCCACGTCTGGCGTGGCTGCTCACATCTGAGCTGGTGCGGTGGTGGACAAGGCTGAGCGAAGACCTGGCGGAGGACGCTTCGCCAGCGAGAGGCGGTAATGATGGCGCCCCCGCTTGAGCTTCCGGCGTGGCTCCAGACCCTAGGATGTTCCAGAAGCGCCCCCAGCCATGCTTATGCTCATGTGCTCGAGGTGTGAGCGCACCCGTCTCATCGCTGCTGCTGGTGGGCTCGACAACAGTGGAGGGCTGGGCCTGTGACAAGGGTATGGCCGTCGCAGTGCTGGAAACGGAAGCGTACCGCTCCAACGCTGTGCTCGAGGAGCGCGGTGGACGTCTAGGTGCTGCAAGCCCAGAGTCGAGCATGAAAGCCGACTCAAGCAGCATGGCAGAACCCGCATACACCTGCAAGAGGAAGGCAACGCACGGAGAATCAAGTCAGCATTCTTTTGATATCGCACATCTATGAAGATCTTCACCTGCCACTTACCAAGAGCCGAAGCAGTTCCAAAACGCGGAGACCCTCATCTTCCTCCTCTACCTCAACCTTGAACGTACCCCCTACACACCGCACCCTTTTGGCAGTATCGGAATCCTGCCAATGGCCCGCGGCCAACGGGAACAGATCCTCGCCCTCGAAGATGTCAGGGACCCAAACAACGGTAGAGCGCTGCGACGAGCGATTGACCGACTTTAACGTGCGATCGGACGCCTCGGACGCTTGCTGCGCCGGTCGTTCCCTCTTGGCAGCCATTCGCGCTGCGCAGGATGCGCTGTGCGCCTTAATGGTCCCGCTCCGCTCGTGCCGTCCGAACCTGGTACCACCTGCGCCAGAGGGAGTCCGCGGCTCCCCGGCGACGCGCAGGTCGATGCAAGTACGGCACACGACCATCTTCGCCCACTCGACACACTGTTTGCTGATCTCCTCGGCGTACTCGCGCTTGGCGCGCTCGAGCGCGGCAGTCTCATTTTCCTCTGCCTCATTGCGATTCGAAAGAGTGTATGCGATCGAGCGCAAGGACGCGTGCGAGCTCGTCGGCGCCACGGTGCGGATCCTCGAGGCCAATGCCTGCAGTTCATCAGCAGCAGCAGTGCTGCTGCCTACGTCCCCGATCGCTCGAGCTTTGGCTTGAAACGCTACGCCGGCAGCAATGTTTAGCGATGCTAGCTGCTGCTGAGCTTTGGACACCTTCGGTGGTCCCGCTCGCGGGTTGCGGACGCTTCTGTCACTCTCTGCTGATTGGCCCCTGGCTTCCGTCGAAGCCGCATCCTTGGGAGCATCATGGGTCGGCGAGGAATGACTCGCCATGACACCCAAGACAGTCCCAGCTTCTGTCTGAGCAGGGAGCACAGGCGAAGGTGCAGCTGAAGGAGCGGCGGATGTGGTGGAAGCAGCCTGAGCATCGCTGCCGGCATTTTGATCTCCGTCCACTGTGGGCGCCTGTGCGTGTGTGTTACAGGTGGAATCCTCCGTGCCAGACGTGATCGCTGTGGTCGCTGCCGCCTTGCTCGGGAACTGCGGCAGAGCGTTGCGTTCGATTTTCTTCGGCTTGACCGGCGTAGCAGCGTCGAGCATACGATCATACGGATTTACTGCATCCGCCATGCGAACTGCAGCACTAGCGCGCAGTGTATTACCACCGTCCGCGCCGCCCTCGCGAGGAATGCGTGCCTCCGCATCGCACTGAGATGTCAGAGTACCCGCCGGAGAGCCAAGCGCGGCGTAGTGCCTCGCGAACCACAAAGCGTTGCCCAGGATCTTGATGGCAACATCCCGTTTCCTGAGCCTCGTCCGCTCCTCCTCCCCTAGGAGCTGGTCTATTGCGGCTCCTTCCACATCGCCGAAGGCTTCAGGAGCATCGTGTGGCAAATCGGTGCCACCCCGCTGCGCATCCTGCGGCGCAGAGAATGGGAAATGCGACGACGAGTGCGACCGTTGCAGCGGAGCAGCGCCGACGACCGCGAGCGCCGACGCCGTCTCCGCTGCAAAGCCGCCGGCTCTGGCGAGGGCAGCAGCGGACCAGCCCCCGCCGCCCGTCAAGCCGAGCTTGGCCCAGCCTTTCGCAGCGAGTGCCGCTGCCGCGAGTGCGGCGTACGCGCCGTCGCCGGAGGCCATCGCAGCTGCCGCTGACGAGCCGCTCGTGGCCGCGGCGCCCGAGGGCGAGTGGGCCGCATCGGCGTCGGCGGACGCGAGGGAAGAGCGCAGCTGGATCTCCGCACGCCACTTCATCGCGGCTGTGCGCTGAAGGGAGGCCATCGTAGCGGGCGAGCTGAGGTAGCGCATAGCATCGAGGGTAGCGCTGAAGAGCTGTGGCGCTGTCGTCTCGCCGAGTGGTTCATACTCATCAGCATCGTCATCGCCTCCTGTCGCGCTTTCTTTGGTTGTCGATGCCTTGTTTGGCGCTTGGAGTGTTGCGTCTTTGTCCGATTGCGGCGCTGGTGTTTGCTTGGAAGAGATTGCATTGGAGGTTGGTGCTGCCCAAGCGTGTAAGAGGATTTGCTTGAGGTGCTCCTCGCATTCCAGATCGAGTCCCAGCCCCAGTCCTTGACGCAGAAGCTGCTTTGCGTGCTCGTCGATCGCTTCCTCTTCGCCTCCTTGTTGGCCGTCAGTGAGTTCGTCCCCTTGCGTTCTCTGAGATCCTGATTCGGAAACAATGCTTAGCACTGTTTCTTCGTCCGCACTGGCGGAAGAAGCGCCCTCCACGCGGTGCAGATGACGGACGAACGCCTCGTCGAGTGGTGGCATCTCTTCCGGCCACCACATCTCGACAAACTCGTCCAGCTCCGCCCGTGTCCACTGCGTCTTTTCTGGGGGTTTCGAAGCTCCAGAAGCGGTATCTTGTCCTGCTACGTTGCCGTCTGCAGGACAATTCGCCCGTGCGCCGCTCTTTCCACTGCTACCGACCTTCTGTGACGGGCCATCGCCTGGCAGGAGAGGCAGCGGTTTGCGGATCAGACGCCGCTGAGTTGGCAAACTGAGTTCGAGCGTAGCGCGCCAGTTGCTGTTGCTGCTTGCTTTCGATGAAGCTTCTGACACGATGGATGCGGCGGAACTGATCGATGCTGCGTCCGCGTTCGATGCGATGGACGCCCCTGAAACGCTGCGGCCTGATGGTGCGGGCGACGGAAGCGGTGGGCGCACAAGCGGCGCTTGGCCGTTCGTCAACTGCGCGTCGCTGCTGCTCTTGCTGTTGTTGCTCGTCAACGAGGGTAGGTGTGGCAAAAAGGCAGCTGCCTCAAGAGGACCAGGCCACTTTTTCTTAGGCCGTGGCGTCACGGCAGATGCAAACTGGCCACTGTCTGCGTCGGCCTCGTTTTCTTCTGCCATGGTGACCGGTGTTGCCGGCCTGCCGGGCGGCGAGGAAGGCGGTGACGGCGCTGCTGCGCCTCCCTCTTTGCGGGTCTGCTGCGCTTCGACCATGGTTGTGACCGTTCACGTCTGACCTCAATGAAGCGTATCAAGCTGTCCAGGAGGGCCTGGCCGGGTCGACGTCAACAAAGAGCATGGGTAGCGATCGGCAACCGTGCCAACTGACAGGTGAGTCACGCGTCCCTGCACGCTACGCGAGTTGCGTGCATGGCGTCAAGCGCCGTCCCATGTATTCAATACTTGCGCTCCCTCTGGCGAACCCAAATTCAATGCGAGGGTCTCTACACCATGTGCGATGCTCTCTGACCAGCCTGCACTGTCCAATCACTAGCTCTTGGTAGGCGTTGATGATGTTGCTGCCGGCGATGCCGCCACCCCCACGCCCCTGACCGGCTTCACCTTGAAAGCAAGAGCGGGTCAGCCGGGCTCGCGGCGCGGGGCAGCCGGGCGCAGCGGCAGAGATCGTAAGGGGGAGAGCTTGAAAAGGGTTCGTTTCTTACATAAGCAACGCTGCCACCCTCACACACGTGCACGGACCAAACGCTGACGTTTATGGATATCGCTCTTTTGTGTTCGGCAAGCTTCGACGCATCTAGGATAACCTTCCCTCTCTTTCTCTCATATCCCCGCCTTCGTCCCCGTGGGCTGCTTGCGATTTCTTAGATCAGCCGCCTTCATAAGTCGCATGTGGCATCCTTGCTCTCCATTCCTGCGCTGTACCACTTGCAGAGTAGCATCTTGATACCCTCGATCCTTCGAGCGTAGCACTCTCCCCTTTTCTGCCGAGTCTCACCAAGATACATTTCCAGTCATGTCAGTCAGCAGCACCAGCAACCCCGTCGCCAAGGCAGCGGCCGCGCCAGCGCCCGGCAACCCGATCGTCTTTCTGGACGTGGCGATCGGTGATGTGGCGAAGGCCAAGAAGCAGCGCATCGTCCTCGAGCTGTACAAAGACAAGGTGCCCAAGACCGCAGAGAACTTCCGTGCATTGTGCACCGGAGAGAAGGGTAATAGCGCGACGGCTGGCGTCCCTCTCCATTTCAAGGGTAGCGGCTTCCACAGGTGAGCGGTGGGGATGCTGACCGGTCCTACCCAAAACCATTCAGCAATTGGAAACTCACTGTGTATCCTCCCTGTAGAGTCATCCCGCGCTTCATGATCCAAGGTGGTGATTTCACCGCGGGCAACGGTACCGGAGGCGAGAGCATCTACGGCGAGAAATTTGCAGACGAAGACCTCACCGGCAAACACGATACTCCGTTCCTGCTCTCCATGGCCAACGCGGGCCCCAACACGAACGGATCGCAGTTCTTCATCACCACCGTGCCCACGCCGCACCTCGACGGAAAGCACTGCGTCTTTGGACGCGTGTTGCGCGGCAAGGGGGCCGTGCGCAAGATTGAGAACTTCCCGACGGGCGCAAACGACAAGCCGCGCGACACGATCACCATCGCCGACTGTGGCGAGCTGGACGCACAGTCGTGGCAGAGCCAGACGTGTCCTGAAGGGCAGCATGCATCCGCAGACGGAGAAGAGGACAAGTACGAGGAGTACCCGCAAGACTATGACGTGGAGAATATCGACGAGGATCCCAAGATTTGCTTCCGTATCGCCAATGAGCTCAAGGCGCTCGGCGCTAAACACTTTGCTAAGGGCGACTACGAGAGGGCATTAGAGAGTGAGTTTGCTGTCACGCTGAACCCCAATGCCGGCAAGCGCTGACATGCCACACCCGTCTGACTTCCGTGCGTCCTGATCAGAATGGCAAAAGGCCCAGCGTTATCTAGCTGTCCACCCAGTTCTGCCAGACGCGCTCGAAGATAGGGACACGTTTGAGCCGGCATACTACGGTCTCAAGACGCCGCTGCAACTGAACTCGGCGCTCTGTGCATTGAAGTTGCAGCCCACTCCGGATGCGCAGCTAGCTGAGAAGGAAACGAGCAGCGTCCTCACGCGCCTCGTTGGTTCTTCCACCACCGCCGAGCAAGCCGTCGTAGCCGAACTGCCCGCAGCGACCAAGGCGGACGTCGCGAAGGCGTACTACCGACGCGCGCTGGCGCGTGTCGTGCTCAAGCGCGATGAGGACGCCGAGCATGATCTCGCAGCTGCGCTCATCTACGCACCCGATGATGCGGGTATCAAGAAGGAGAAAGCGTCCGTCTCGGCACGGAGGCAGGCCAAGCTGAAGGCGCAACGGGCGGCATACAGCAAGATGTTCGGGTGATGCGCGTGACTGGGGTGTGAGCGCTGGGCAGTATACAGAATTGTAGATCCGGGGATGATCAAAAGAATTCAAACGAGTGCAAAACATGTCTTGCCACTTCGACAATTTCCAGCGCTTTTACAGACCAGAGCCATGGCATCCCTTCTCCCTTGAGAAGCAAGATTTCTGAGAGCATCACGTCATATTATCAAGATCACCCTCCATTCATCTTTGTAGGGTTTGCCATTTACAAATTCACAACGGTTGCTTTTGAAGCGACAGTAAATCACTAGAAATATCCAGCAATCAGCACAGCAGAGCAGAGCAGAAGGGGAGGGAAACCGCCTCCTCTCTGTTCTTTTGTTCCCAGATCTAATTCTTCATCCCACGTCGTTGGCGGTGCTCTTCTGCCTCGGTGAAGCGCAGGACAAAGTTAACGATCGTTCCGGTGAGTATGGCAACGCAGAGGAACGTAGGTCCGCTGTGTGGGATAGAGGAGGTCAGTTGAGAGAGCTCAGCCTCGATTGCAGCAAGTGAAGGACCGGAATGGACTCACGCAGCATCAAAGTAGACGTGGCTGCTCTCCTTCTTGCGAATCTTAATAGCGCGGAGCATGTAAATGGCACCAGAGTAGGCGATGCAGAAGAGTGCAATAACGGTGAAGACGGCAGAGGAGATGAGGCCCGTGCGATCGCCAGGGTGGCTGTAGTTGAGCAAGCCGACCGCGAGCGCGGAGATGAAGACGCTGAACTCGAGCCATTTGAGGAATGTCCGCTCGTTCGCAAAATATACTTTCGGCTCGACGCGCACGGGAATGGACACCTTCTTGCCCGGCTGTGCTTGGAAGTGGTTGATGTACTCGACCGACTGGTGTGGTGGTGGTGCGTCCTCCTCGTCGCGGCCCTCGAGCATGCGCCTGATCCGCTCATCCTCCTCCTCGTCATCGTGGTCATCCGCTACATCATGACCGCTGCCGGTGCCGTCGCTGTCGCCACGCGCGTACTGTGCGCGCCAGAGCCGGGAGATGTTGTTGGGGGTCAGCTTGGTGAAGTACGACTTGTCGAATGCGCTCGCCGTCGAAAGGATGTCGGCCTTGCTAGTCGATTTCTGCTTAAGCTGCTGGCCATCTGCGCCGCGGTGCTGCGAAATGGAGCTGGTTGCGCCGCCAGAGACGCTACGCTTTGCGGCGCCGAGCGAGCCGCTGATCGTGTTAGAGAAGGCGCCCGGGTTTTCGCGGCGGAGCTTCTCGAGTTCGGCCTGACGTTCCTCGATGTTCTTTTCACGCTGCTCGCGAATCTCACGGATGCGCGCGTCGCTGATATCGGTGCCGAGCATGCGTGCGACGTGGCTCTCGTTGCCCATGACGGCCTTGTGCTCGCCGTCGAGATCTTGATCGAGGCTGCCGGCGCCTTCAAACTCGTCTTCCGACTCGGGCTCGTTGTATGGCTGCTGCTGACGCGAGCCGTTCTCACCGCCGCCAGGAAGATTGGCAAGACGACTGCTGGAGCCGTGCGGAGAGAGTGGTGGGGCACTTGATACGCCACTATGACCGACCGAGGCGGGTCGCTCGATGGAGACGAGATGCTTGTTCGGCGGCTTGCGGATGTCAATGTCCATTTGAGGGAGCCAGAAGGGGACGAGGTCGACCCGGTTGGCCAGCAGGGTCGCGCAGCCGTGAATGAACTTGCTAAACTTGGGCACAGCCTCGACGAGGTGCGAGGCGACGAGCTCGCGCACCCACTGCGGAGGCTCTTGGCCCATCTGCGTCTGCAGCTTAACTTCCAGCACACCGTATGGGAAACGCTCGACATCTTCGGCAGGCAGCTGATCGAAGGGGTAGTCAATGCCAATGTCCATCCTGCGCCAGTTGTCGCCAGAGCGCTTGCTGTCATCCCAATTGTCTTCTCTCACTAGCGTGAGCTCCGTGTCCAGAGAGATGCGCACACGCGCATCGCCGGGTAGCTGGAAAGCTGTACGGTTATAGAATGATCGCATGACCGGCTCGAGCTTGCGTGCGAGGACGCTGTATTGGACTTCGTTGGCGAGCTGGAGCATGCTATCGATCTCCTTGTCGCTCTTCTTACCCTTCTTGCGGAGCGCTTCGAACGTCTCGTCCATGGTGTAGGTGCCGTTGAAGAACCCATTCACGTTCTCCTCCATGATGGGGAAGCGAGCCTTGACAGACTTTTCCCCGGTCCAGTCTTCTCGATGCGTTTTCCGCTCGACAAAGATCTGCTTGTTGTTCATGCCACCGTACCAGCGCAAACGAACCGCTTCGGCACCTTCTGTCTTCTCCAAGCGACCTAGGTAGAGCTCGAGCTCGTCATTGTCAAAGTAGATTGAGGTAATGGCACTGTCTGCTTGCTCATAGTCTTTGTCTGGATTGAAGACGAGCACAGGCAGGTGCTTGAGAATACTGAGCTTCAGAGGAACAATGTTGTCCGGGTGCACCCAGTACTTGGTTGTTTGTCGGACGAAAGCGCTCTGCGAGCCGCCAGCACTGGAGTCACCTTGCACGGGGTGCCCACGCGTACGTACCAGGTCGAAGAGCTTGCTGAGCTTGACGATAAGCTCGTCATAGTTCTCCTTATAAAACGGCCTAGCACTAAGGTAATGCTGGACAAATTCGCGGCGCAAGAGCCTGTCGGTCTGCTTGTCGTGCTTCTTGACGATCTTGTGGAATCCAGTATAGTTGAGCTTGGTGAACAGCGCAAGGTCGTGCACATCGGCGATGATGACGGCGAGGCGCTCTTCTAGGTCCATGAAGTGTGCTTCATAGTTGTCGTCTTCCTCATCGGCATCCGAGTCAATCTCATCGTCCGTGCCGACATCGTCGTGAGCATAGACAAGGTCATCATCCGCCTCTTCTTGGCGGTTCCTGTGATGTTGATGCCGCGTCGGAGGGCGGAGGTGTGTACCAGCTTCTTGCTGGGCGCCTGCTGCAGATGTGCCAGCGTCGTGCGAATGGGCGGAGCTGGCGCGGGAGAGCAGCGAGGTTGCGGATGATGCACGAGACGAGACGAGCAGATGCACTTCGGACTGTGCCGCCTTGATCCGTTGTGTCAACTCGGCGACCTGCAAGCGCCACAAATGTTCAGCAATTGATCTGAGACGAGCAGGCCAGGCCGAGCCACACTTGTTTCCACATGAGGGATACTCACTTTCTGTTTTTGGAAGTCGTACACTTTGTCGAGCTCCTTGCTCAGTTCGGCGACGAAGACGTCCTCGTCTTCGTCTGACCATCTACCATTGTTACTCTCTAAGCGCTTTTTGATGAACTTTTTCAAATCCGAGTACCTCAAGTACTTGTCGGACCACTCTGAGTAGAGGGAGGACTTGATGGTGCGCCCGAACTTCATCCTTTCGCTTCTCTACTGCCTGCTTGTTTGTTGACCTGCTGTGAGGTGTGGTGTACGAGTAAAGGAGACTACTGGAACAAGCTTGAGAGGCCGGGCAGCGGCGAGGGCTGGGATGGATCAATGACGGGCGCAGCAAAGGCGGTTGTCAGGGTCAGCCTTCCTCGGGCTTTCTTTCTGGGTATATTGTTGTGGTGTCGTTGGCAGCGGAGGACACCTTGGTATTGATCCTTGCACCTGTGCAGTGGGCACGCTGGCACAGATGCAGTAGGATGCAACTGTATGCTTGCTTGCGATTCGCCGGTGCGGATGTATTATACGGCAAGCGTGTTTGGATGTCCCCTGGATGCGCGATGAGATATATGTCTCTGTCTTTCTACCTGGATGTCTGGAAGCGGTGGTTTTTGTGCTGGGCGGGCGCGTGAAGGTGCGCAAACTGGCCCGATATATGTATATAGCTGCGCTCAGATCAGCCACTTTTCGACATCGTCGAGAGATCGTCCTGCCAATTGTAACAAACAAAAACCAATGCCTTTGCAACGTTGACGAGAGCGCTTCTTCTCTTCTCTCCCTTCTTCCAAATCACAGGCAGATAGGACCGTTGTCTGCTGTAGCCTTGGAGTCGCGATTCGAATCACATCATCTTTCCAATGTCAACCCAACAACAGATTGGGATCGTCGTGGGTGAAGGAAACGGCGAGCGTGCGTAGCCTCAATAACTCGTCACAGCATGGCGCAGGTGGGCACACTCGCGAAGGCGCAAAGAGAGAGGAGAGTGGGCACGGGAGCGGGGCGAGAGCAGTGTGTACGCTCTATCAGCCAAAGGAGCGTCGCGGATGTAAGTCCTGTGCGTCTGTATATGTAACTAACTACATCAATGCAAAAATGTAATACAAGACAGGGCTTGCGCCCATGGCCATATATGTGCTTGGTCATGGCAGACAGAGCTTGCTTACATATGGAAGGAGCGATAGCCCCTCTCCCCAGTCCCTACCCTTCTAATCCTCTATATATGTGTTCCCCTATCTCTCCACAGGGTGAAACAGGCCCAGTGGTCAGCCCTGGCCGGTCCTAAGCTTCCGATGGCATTCTCCTCTCCCTCTTGTCTGCGAGCTCCGCCAGCACTCTCCTGCATGAAAGCCGGATGGAGATGTCACCAATCATCGATCAGAGGGTGAGAGGTAAGCTCATCCAGCCGCCAGCAGGAGGGCTGACTGATCAGATGAGCCCATCGCCCATCAGTGATGCAGTGATGAACGATGAAATCGATGAGAGGCACTACATAAACGCAACCTGACCCTCTCACATGCCCCTAGGAGAGTCTCGCTGAACACCTCCCGCCTCTTGCAATTTTTTTGTTCGCTGCTGGGTTGCAGTGCCTCTTGCCTGGCGTTCGACGTGCACGTGCAACGCTGCACAGGAGGAGACCTTTTCATTTCAGATCGGAGTGGCGTCACACAATTCAGCTACCAGCCCCGTTGCAATGCCAAAGCACTTTAGAGTTCCGGGGGGGGGGTTAGTTCTGCTGTCCACGTCCGCCATATTTCCTTTTTTTTTGTCCGGCCGAGGCGTGCGGACGACCTCACGCCTGGTGATGCGGACAACAGGCCAAATCGATCCGTTGCAGATTGTAGGGTTGTTGACTATCTCAGCGCGACCAACTGAAACAGCATGAATGCAGCCTCCTGGTCTTGTCCCCACGGATGGACCTAGAAGTGAATTTGCCGACATGGACAGCTGAGATGAACCCAGCCCAATGGGTCAGCCTATTATGACACCACGGCTCCCTCCATCAACTAACCGACATAGTGGACTACTTCATGTAAACCGTCATGTGTCATCGCATCCATTCCCTCTCAATACCATTGCCTCACAACTATGCATACTCCCGCTCTCACACCTCTCACTTTGTCACAGGTTACCTCACAAGCATATTCGACGCTCAAGCAACTCTTTGTGCTTCAGACTTTACCGTCCTGAAACCTGGGTCGCACGCCTGCACTTGGTTGCATGACTGTCCATCGTGCCAGGTTTGTGCAGGACGCATGGTGCAAGCGCTACACCTCACTGTCTTTCCTTCACGACCCGAGCCATTTGCCATTCCTCGCTGCTAGCGTCGATGCCCGTAGGTAGGTAGGCACGGGAATGCAAAGGTGACGGCTTACATACCGTGACACTAAATGCCTCGAGTTCAAAAGCCCGAGAACGAGGATTTGGTGACTAGCCAGCGACGTTTGACAAGGCGCAATCTCCCCGGATTTGATCACACATTTCGATTCAGTGCGAGTGCTTGTGAATCAAAGCAAGAATGGCCCTATGTTTTTCAGGGCCATCGAAGCGCATAATTTGGTAAATAGACGAATGTGCTTGTGGCAAGGGCTCCACGATCTAAGAGCATCGCTGCCACGGCGCGAAAGCACAAGGGGTGGTCTACTGAAGCGCAGAGACCTGGTCTGGCTGGTTATTAGGTCCAAAGAGAAGCAATTCGCCTTGAAAGTGTGCATAGAGAAAATGTATCCAAGCAAACTTCCCCTCTCTCAATTTAGTGGAGTAATTCCATACGATACTCCTCCCTTCGTTCCCATTCCATTCCTTTGCTTGGATCGGCCTGCACCGCCTTCACCACTGCGCCAAACTGTGACGGATCAAGGCCACGAAGATAAAGTCAACATTCTGTCGATGTTGAGGAGTCTGCGCGAAAAGATGCTACCGAAGAAGGAAAGGTGGATGTTGAATGCGAGACGTTGCTGGGCAAGACTGCCAGAACGAGGGGAAAGAGAAACAAAAAGTGAGAGTGAGAGTGACTACTATTGGAAGTGTTGGTTCAATGGAAATCAGCAAGGAGCGTGACACGGCGGAAACATGCATCATTGAAGTCACCCAACGACGCGTGACTATCACGTGACTAGACGTCTTGGCCGTCCTTCGCCGTCGCCGATAACAATCTTCTCGTGGTTGAGTCATAAAGGGTAACCTATCTGAAGCGCATGACCCCACTTCCTGTACATAATGAGACCGTTCAGAGCATTGACAATCTTGCTGTCGTCCGCGCACTATACATCAAACGACGCTGAATAAATAAAGAACAGCCGCAAAGAAACAAGCACGAATCCTGGAGCTAGAATCGCAATCATGGAGGGCGTAAGAGACAAGCTTGCACAAGCAGCAGAAAAGCTTCACATTGGTGGGGGTCAAGAGGCCGCGGCCGAGCCCAGCCCTGATGCGGCGAAGAGTGCGTGCCAGGCCCCAATCTGTTATCGGTGTGATGCCACTAGGTTCTAAACCGCGTTGCCTACTTTTTCTGCAGTCTACGTGGACGAGTCCGCTGGGTCGGACGACTCTGGCGATGGGTCCAAAGCAAAGCCTTACAAAACGAGCCTCGCGGCCATGCTGGCCAAGGGTCAGAACATCTCCCTGTTCATCAAGAAAGCAGGAGAGCTAGACGAGAAGGACAAGGCAAGCGCCGACGAGGATGGCTACGTCCCCATTAGCGCGACTGGCCAGAAGCGCGTCAAGAAGCTTCACGAGGCTGCTGTCAAGAAGCAAAAGAAGCTGGAAGAAGCAGCGGCCAAGGAGAAGGACAAAGCTAACGCCGAGAGCAAGAAGCTGGAGGAGAGCAAAGGCGTCACACTCGGGGAGGACAGCAAGGATGCCAGGAAGATCAAGATTCACCAGGGTGCAGAACATCGGGATAAGAGGGTCAAGATCTTTGGCTGGGTGCACCGGCTACGACAACAAAAGGACATGCACTTTATCGTCCTGCGAGATGGCACCGGCTTCCTGCAGTGCATTTTGCAAGGCCAAGTCGCTCAGACCTACGATGCTCTGACACTTACCCTTGAAAGCTCAGTTGAGCTTCGCGGCACGTTGAAGAAGGTGCCCGAGGGCAAAGAGGCTCCAGGCGGACACGAACTCGTCGTAGACTGGTGGGAGTGCCTTGGCAAGGCTCCAGGTGGTGACGAGGCTATTTCGAACCTGATTGCAGAGGTGAGCGCGGCTTGACGCCAGATTTGCTTTGATGTCCGTTGGTACACAGTGCACTGATCGCTTTATCGTTGAAAGGATATGGAGCCATCGCTGCTTGCAGATCGCCGACACCTTGCGATTCGTGGCCAGACCGCATCTGCAGTCCTCAAGGTCCGCTCTGGCGTCCTGAAAGCATTCCGATCGACGTTCGACAAGCTGGGTCTTACAGAAGTCACACCCCCTTGTATGGTGCAGACCTCCGTAGAGGGCGGCTCGACGCTGTTCAGCTTCGACTACTACGGGCAGCAAGCTTATCTCACCCAGTCCTCGCAGCTTTACCTCGAGACTGTCCTGCCTAGCTTGGGAGACTGCTTCTGTGTTCAGGAATCTTTCCGCGCAGAAAAGAGTCACACCAGAAGGCACCTCAGTGAATACACCCACATCGAGGGGGAGTTGGCGTTCATCAACTTTGAGGAACTCTTGGAGCACATCGAGGAGCTTGTGAGTGCGGTTCTTTCTTCGATACTTACATTATCACGCTCGTAAGCTTATCTTCATGGGTGTATACGCGTGTCTAAAGATCTGTGGGACAATCGAGCGACTGCTGGCCGACACGGAGATGAAGATGCTGGTCGAGCAGCTCAACCCAGGTTTTCAGCCTCCGACGCGCCCGTTCAAGCGCATGGACTACAAGGCTGCTATTCAGTGGCTGAACGACCACGGCATCACGAACGAGGACGGCGAGCCGCACAAGATCGGCGACGACATTGCCGAGGCGGCCGAGCGTAAGATGACCGATGCGCTCAACGTGCCCATCTTCCTGTGCGGGTTCCCGCGCGAGATCAAGGCTTTCTACATGAAGCGTATCAAGGGCAACGAGGAGTTCACCGAGTCTGTCGACGTGCTCATGCCCGGTGTAGGAGAGATCGTGGGTGGATCGATGAGGATGTCCGATGCAAAGGAGCTGCTTGAAGCATACAAGACCGAGGGCATCCCTTCCGACCCGTACTACTGGTACACAGACCAGCGCAAGTACGGAACATGCGAGCACGGAGGATACGGCATGGGTCTTGAGCGCTTCCTCGCTTGGCTCACCAACAGGTGGACTGTCCGCGAATGCTCGCTCTATCCTCGCTGGACGGGACGTGCTACCCCATGATGTGGACCCGCCAGCATGTATTTTGACAACTCCTGAACAGCGTTGCGTTCGGAGCACACATAAGATCTCGAATGCACCTGATGATAAATGGGAAATAGAGTACAATGGAATAAAAGCTCACGCCTCGGAAGTAAGCAGCCAAGGTGTAATGCATCGAGCGTGGGACCCGTGGCGCTGGCCCATTCCGCATAACCGAGATGACGGCGTGGTGACGACACCGTCGCAAGTGGAGGAACTAAGGAACAAGTACACAAAGATCAAGGTCTCGTTCACAGACTCATGTCACCGGCAGCCATCTGCTGACTCAGACCGGATCGAGGCTGCTGTTGAGCTGGAGAAAAAGCTTGAGTTGATTCGGCCAAGCGTTTTTGAAGACCTGATGGCAGCTGCGGCTTGCCGAAGAGAGACACCGGCTTGACCCTGCAGCCAACACAAGCAAGCAAGCGGTCAACAATAATTCACAGGCTGTCCCTACTGATGGAGAACTTACTTGAGCTGGTGCTTTTGCTTCACAAGCTTCAGCTTTGAGCTCGTGGGAGAGAGAACGTTGTCGCTGGGAGAGTAGAAGCTGTTCGACGCGGCGGCTCGTCTTGCCGCCAGAGGTGCGGTGCTCTGAGGTCAAGATTTCCACAAGGACATCAACCCGAGCTCAAACCTGGGAAAAATAGAGTATTTGATGTTTAGCTTACCTTCTTGTGGTCCTCCTCTTCGCTGATGCTGGCCACCAGTCCGTCCTCAATCCGAGCAACAATGAGGCTCCTTACGACCCTCTTTGGCTGCACTTCCATCTCCATCTCTTCGTCTACCGAGCGCATGCTTTCCTGAATGGCAGCCTCATCAAAAAATGCCAGCTCTTGATCGACAACGACGAACTTGGTGCGTGCATTCTCCTTGCCCGCGAGCGTGTCTGGCGTGTGAAGCAGGCGCTGTCGCAGGACTTGGCGTGACGGGTGGGCAGAGAAGGTGTTGTTGAACGTCGACTGAATCTCGGTGGTGCCAACAGCAACAGATCCAGAGGGCAAAGTGAAGATCACCTCGCTGGAAAACAGCCGGTTTGACAGCGGTGGGGTTGGCGTCACTGCGTAAAGCTTTGCGGGACAAAAGGGAAAGCAGGACATGATGTCAGCCGGTTCACCTCGCGGCCCTGACAGCATGCTTGCCAGTCACTCAGCCAGACTGCTCTCGAGGTCACTTACATCGTGAATCGCCTGCAAGAAACTCAGCTCGTCTTGGCTCGCTTGGCGGTCGGCCAGATTCATGGACTCTTCGGGAGAGAGAAGAGCGGCGTTCAGCCGAAGGTTGGAAGGGTGGAGCATGGGGGGCGCCATGGTGTGTACTACTTGCAACTTCCCTACGGAGGTTCTGGCGGGCTTAACAGAATCAGGGCTATAATTTGTCTCGAGTGTCAGCTTGTATTTCTAATCGACAGAGCCGATGCAAATGTTGAAAACGCTTTGAGGACATGTGAAGACTCTGCAGTATTGGAGGTACAGGTCACAGCAGCAATCCTAAAGTGTTCGGCTATGTTGTAGATTCTCACCTGACGCGCCTTTGGTATCACGTGACACATTCTCGCCACATCTCAACTTTGGTCGGGCGGAATTCGTAACAGATCAGTCGAAACGCGAAACCATCCCACATTGCACACAGCCATACACCCCTTCGACCCGTTGCGCCGGACATCTGAACGACAGGTGTAAGGACCAAGGACGGTGGTTCATGGCGGTGTAATAGCCGGTACGAAACTGTATATCGCGTCCGCAGACCGCCGCAGCAGGCACGCAATTCCCATATTGCGCCGCATCCACCGCTCTCGGTCTCGCCCCAAGCATGAATAGCGCGAATGCATCCGAGAGTAGCAGCGCACGCGGTCAGGCGGCGCAAGCGCAAGCCGGCACTCTTACCTTCGCGATGGATGCACAAGAGGGAACGGATCTTATAGGTGCCGAAGAAGTCGCGCAGCTCAGGGAGCATGTTGCATTCCTGGATGCACGACTCCAGCGAGTCGAAGATGAGGCTGCCGCGCGGACAGAGCAATTGCTTCAAAGACTCACTACTCTCGAGCAAGATTGGAGCCTCATCCGAATATTGATGGCCAGTCTCAGCAATGGCAATGGTCCTTCTGGGACACAAAGTCTTTCTCATATTCAGGGAGTTCAAACAGGAAACGGCCTGCTTTCACCTTCGGTATCGGCGATCGCAGCAGTCGCAGCAGCAGCTGTCAACGCGACCAATTCAGGGTCGTCGGGACGCCCGCTTCGGAAACGCAGCAGGGCATCCATGCCGACCCCCCCAGCTGGCAACCAGTCGCATCAGCAGTCCAGCAGTCAGAATGGGCCGTCGACCACGACCACACCCCAGTCTTCCATGCGAGATTCTCCCAGTTCTACACGTGCATCCGGCACCAACAAGAAACGCACTGCATTCACTGCGGGCTTTGAGTCTCCTTTCAGCGGAGTCAACGCGCATATTGCCAAGGCAGCTCACCTTTCGCAGCTGGCTACTCGCCGGTCTATGAATGCGATCAAAACCGGTCAGAACCCAGGGGATGTGTTGGATGCTGCGAATTTCCGGAGCACATCCAATCTGCAACCACTTCCGGGCCCTTCGTGGTCGATCACAAGGCAGACCGCTAGCTTGCAAGGCTCCACTGCAGCTTCTGGCTCTTACACTGCCGTGGCTGCTGGCCAGGGCAGCTCGTCAGAGGTGGGAAGGCCTGCGGCCGAAGCAGGGCTGGTATTGCCAGGGACCGCTTCCTTTGGTGGGGAACAGGTGACGGCAGCCTTTGCAGCATCGCCCACGAATGTTGCCTCAGAGCGGTCTCGCCGGCGTCCCGAGCGCATATCCAACGGCTCAACAGACGGACAGGCTGGCGGCAGTGCGCAGGGAGGCGAGAGATCCAATGCCACGCCGCCTCCACCACCCGCTGCAAACACCTCGACCGATGCTTTCAGAGCAACAGTCTTGAGTGAAACAGCGTCCCACCAGGAACAAGACACTGATGAAAACGAAGAGTCTGACCGAGCTCTCCAAGTAGCGGCTGCAGCGGCAGCGGCGGCGATAGGGCAAGAGGCAGGACGTGCGTCTGAAGATGCATCCACAAGCTATGCAGGCGCCGCCGACACACCTATTCAAGCATCCCAAGGCGATCATTCCATCGTTCTCGACGAATTTGAAGAACTACCGATTCCTCGAGTCAACACCGTCCCTGAAGTCATTGCGCAATGGGAGAATGGCGATGCGCGCGTTGGGATGAAGCCTCTGAAGATCTGGACGCCAAGGATGATCAATCATCCGCGGTATCTCTCGACGTACGCGGATCGCAAGCGCATCGTTGATGCGTACCAGAGGGCGGGCGGTACGCTGCAGGCCTTCTACAAGCGGTACGGCCATGACAAGCCGCTCAAAGAGTACAAAATCCTTATTCAGGCCATGGGCAAGCAAGAAGGGATCGTCAAGGCAAGGCAACGATCCAGAAAGTCGGCATCAAGCTCCACTGACAAGGCAGCGGGCTCGCCTTCCCAGAATGCACCCAGCGAGCCTCAGCGCCAGGTGCGCCAACGAGCCAGCGGAAGGGCCTCAAGTCGTGAAGGAGCTCCGAGTGCGCAGACCGGCGAAAGCAGCGGGGATGCGAACGACCGGTCCACATCGACCTCCGGAGTAGATGACGCGAATGCCGAACTCGCGGATGCTAACACCTTTTCAATAGTTGACGCGATGGTAGATCCGAACGCTCAGTGACCAAGTCTACATTTCTGCTCCTCTTCTGCTTCTGCCTCTGTAATTTAGCCTCTCTTGCAAACGTAACGTACGCATGCAGTTTCAATTCTTCGCAGACCTCTTATTGTACATAGTTCGTTCTCGGTCTCTCGCTGGTATAAAACACAGACCCTGACTTCCCATCCGACTGCCCAAAACGCGAATGTGATTCCGGCGCGGCGCGATCGCAAGTCGTACTTCTCCCCCTCTACTCGACAGAGTCGTCAGCGCCCGCCACAGCACCTGCTGCGGCACGTTCGTCCGCGTCGCCGCTGGTATGCCCTTCCTCTGCCGAAGCACCGGCGCCGTTCTCTTGGGTTTGAGTGCCATCGCCCTCGACATTTGGCGACGGCGAGCTTTGCTTGGCGATGCTCGCCTTGCGAGGGTGATTTTGGGGTACGCTGCGTGGGGGGTTTCCGCAGCGGTCCTTCCCGTAGGCGATCTTGACGCTCTGGTACTCGCCGTGGTTCTTCATCGCCTCGATAGCTTTGATGGCATTCTGTATGTTGCAGAAATTGACGAATGCCTGGAAAGACAAAATAGGGACGTCATCAGCATCAACAAGCCAAGGGATGAGCGCACTCGCGGGCAACGTACACAATTCTTCTCGCGCAAGCTGTTGACCTGCTCGACCTCGCCAAAGTCGCCAAAGTCTCTACGCAGCTTCTCCTCGGTCAGGACATCTGGATTGTCGATGTTGCCGACGTAGACGTTCCTTGAGCCACCTGCCTGTACGGCCATTGCGATGGCCGGGCTCAGCGGTCCTGAATGCTTTCCCCAGCCGATTTTGAGGCGTCTGTTGTGGATCATGACTCCGGAGTAGGAGGCCAGGTGAAAAAAGGCGAGAGCGGCATTAGGGTCGACGAAGGTGACGAATGCGATGTGCTTTTCGGGTATGAATCGGATGTTCTGCAGAATGCCACCTCGAATATGGTTGCAGATATCTTCCGTTGTCGTTTCTGAATGTATGTTTCCTAGGTAGACTGTTCGATTGCCCATCTGCGACAGCGCTGCTGTGTTGTTGGTCGCCGCTGGGCCTATGCCAAACGCGGCGCCCGTCTGCGGCCGACCGCTTTCGTCGACGAAGCCTTGGTTGGTGCCAAAAGCACCGAATTGGCCAGGCAGGGCGGTGAGCGCCGTCGGGTATCCCAGACTGGCTGCAGCTGCCAGCCCCATGGCGGCAGCCTGGTGGTTGTGTGCCTGATTCTGCTGCTGGCTCTTTGGAATGTACGCACATCGATCTTTGCCATAGTTGACGCGCTTGTTCTGCCAACCCTCCTCAGTGGGGAGAGTCGTGACGACCTTCATTGCCGTGTTGATGGACAGGAAGTGGACAAAGCCGATGTTCTTGTCGCGAACGATCTTGACCTGGTCGATAGGCCCAAAGCGGGAGAGGTCGTCTCTTAGTGACTCTTCCGTCGTGTCGTCATCGAGCGAGCCGAGGTAGACGTTGCGCGTTGCCTGATGCTGCTGCACTGCAAGTATGACTTGGGCAGGGCAGGGAGACGGCTTGCCCCAGCCGATCTTGAGCTCGTTAGAATGCAAGGTAAACTTCTTGACAGATGCGTCAGCGTGGAAGGCCGCAGCAGTCGCACCTTCCAGGAAGGAGATGAACGCGCAATTTTTCTCCGGCAGCACGCGGACATTTTCGATGGGGCCAAATTTGACGAGACTGAGGAGCTCATCGACAGAAGCGTCAGCAGGGAGGTTGCCCACATAAACCGTGCGACCGGCTGGCGCATTCGGTCCGTTTGCACCTTGCAGGAGCGACTGCTGGCTGGCCAACATGTTCATGTTCGGCATGAAAGGTGAGCCCATTGGACCGGACCCACCAAACGGAGAGGGGTACCCAAAGTTCTGGGGTGGAGACATAAAGCCGGTGGGCCCTGCAAAGCCCTGGTTGATACTATGTTGCACCATGCCGAAGCCTAGTCATCGAGAAGAAAGCCGCATCGTCCATCAGCTCTAAGACCTTTCATGCGCGTCTCCGCTCGGGCGGATACACTCACCACACATGCTGGGCCCTTGGTCCTGATTCCCAGTCACGGGTCCTACACCCGCAGCGCCTCCGAGCAAGCCGAAATGAACCGTGTATGGGCTGGCCAATCCCGAGGATACTGGCGACGGCGACCCTGGGCCGTAGACGCCGGCGGCAACAGCAGCCAGTGTAGGGTCTATGTTGCCGTTCTGCCCTCCCAGGTCATTTCCATAGCAGGGCTTCTTGCATCCTCCTGCTCCTCCATCCTGCGCTTGAGCGGGACCGGCTCCTAGGCCGAGTATGTGTTGTGCGCCGGCTCCCATGCCGACAGCGCCGGGGCCAACGAGACCGCCAGCAAGATGCGCCGTGTCGCCTTCTAGCCCGAACGGTTGTGATGGTCGTTTCATCATGTCCAGGGGAGGGTCGCCAAGCTGTTGCCCTGATGCGTGCTCCGGACCTCCTGAGTATTGGTGACGATGTGACAGTAGATGCGGATGCGAGTGCGAGTGCGGGTGGGGGCCGTGCTGCTGGTGCAAAGGTGGTAAATGGTGTATGTCAAGGTAGACAGCCCCGTCCGATGGATACGGTGCCAACTCGAAGGGTTCTGATGACATGGCCATGATCAAGATGATGTATAAGTGTATGCGTCACGGCGCAAGGATGTAGTGTGTCGAATCGATGCATCCGGAGCCAGGGGGAGTCGAACCGTGGTTTGATGCAGGTGTGCGTCACACACAATAAATACGTTGACCAGCAACGGGATGGAGTGTACGCGTGGGTAAAGACGAGGCGGACAATGCGTTGCGTAGCGAAGTAGAGTAATCGTCGAACAGGTTGCGATTTCGAGGGTGACAAGGTCGTCGCCCAGTCGATTTGGTCATGCGACGTCGGTGGTGGTCCAATGTCGGTCAGCAGTGACAAGGATCGAAGGACGATGGGGGGAGGAAAAGACCAATAGCACAAAAGAAGGCCCCACCATCAAAACCCGTTTGACAGTCGGTGCGGAAGCGGCACAGATGGAAGGAGAAGGATAGAGGATAAGAGGGATAGAGAAAGAAGAGCACAAGAACAAGAGGAGAGTCAGAGAAAGAAAAGAAAAGGGTGTTGCGCAAAGAAGAAAAGCAGGGTAGGAAGTGGCGAGGCGGCCTTTTGCCGCTTCGAGGTGGGATACCGAGTCGTGATGTGTGCGACGTCTACGACAGGCTCCATGAAAGCTTGGCCCGTTGAAGACTTACGTTATAGGCCGGTGCAGCGCAGCAACGATGGAGGTGCCGTGCGAGGTGAACCAGAGATGCTGCGCAGAGATATGGCACGATATTCAAGACGCAAGCGAAATCACTCCTTGCGCTAGCTCTTGCTTTCCGAGAAGTTGACAGCAACGAGTACTGTCGATGCAAAAGCGAAGTGCCTGTGCATGGCGTCAACAGTGCGCGAAGAAGCAGTTCAGGAGAAGGAGAGCGAGAATCAGCAAATGTTGTTGGGAGATTGCTTTGCGTTCGTGCGGCATGGCAATGAGCCCTCTCGATTGGGCCAAGGGTTGCCTCGCCCCAGCCGCCTTGTCCAGTACCTTCGCGAGCCCCTTTCGGTTTCTATGCTTTTCCTGCGTACCGCCAGGCCACGCCGAGATATGCGACGATGGATACAATCGCGCTCCCGCCGCGTAGACTGTCTTGCAGGGAGAGCCTGATGGTTGTCTCGCGCTCGTGACATCAGAATCCCAACGACCCCTTCCCAGGTGAAGCCTTCTCGTCTCGAGGGCGAGGGAACACTGAGCCACCATGGCGAGGGCTGCGCAGCGCTTACTCACGCGTTGATGCGGTTCGGCTATGGGTATAGGCACGAAAGAGATACGTTGCAGATAGGCGCTTTTTCGACGCGAGAAGGGAAAATGCGCTTAAGAAGAGTTGAACCTTGACAAGCAGCAATCGCTAGCCTGCGCTGAAAGCGTAGACGAAAGGAGGATGCAGTGGCAGCACGTCATGTGAATGTGAGCTTGCCTTCGAACTTCTAGGTGACCAAGATCGGCAATACATACGTAAGGAGCAATCGGCGCGCTTTCCCGCTTGCGCACCAGGGTCAGGGTCTAGCGCGGAGGCGAGAGCTAACAGATGTGCGACGCTGAAACAGTTGGGCTCCCACGTGCAAATCGCAAATAGCCCAGGGTGTGCAGAGATGCAAAGAGACGGCGGTGATGCGATGATGATGGAGCCTTAGAGGCCAGCGAGGCGGTGTAGCTAAAGAAGGCGCGCCAGGCAATCAATACCTCAGACTGGTGCAAATGGCCCGGGAGGACGAAGATGGGCGAAAAGCGAGAAGACAGGGTTGAAGGAGCAGCTGTATTCCAGACTCCACTTGCATCCAAAGCTCCTCGTCAAGCCCAGTTTTGCTGCCGCTCTTTTGTTACAAGCGCCCTTTGTCTCCTTCTATTCCGGTTGAGAAGAGGCTTTTACAGAAGCGCAGAGTAGAATGAGGGACCTGCTTGGACCATCCAATGCGAGGTGGTCGACGCGGTTGGGCTCAGCAGATCTCGATTCCTTTCCCCACAACACGCAGGACAGCTGTGACGGCTTATTATTGAAAGAGGCGCCTTACAAGAGCGACCATCCAAAAGCCAAGGTAGGAGTACTGTCTCGCTGGACGCTGGGAGGAGCGCTGTATATTTATGAGGCGTTGAAGCAGGCAGACGCCAGCTTTACAGTGCCTGCTCTCACTGCCCGCCGGTTCATTGGGGGACGCAGCGCACGCGCTTCCAACAAACTCCAAATCCCAAAACGCGCTATGGAGTACCGGCGAGGGGCGAGTTGAGTGAAGCGCCTGCGGCGACAGGAAACACGACCCGCGGTGGCCCACGGCCACTGGGCGAGCCCTCAGCCTGCAAACAGCGAAAACCACACAGTCGTCCAGTGCCCGGTGTGTGACTGTTGTGTGTGCGCGTGTGTGTGTGGTGTGAAGGCAGACCGAGTTCCCGGCGGGCGCCCAAGGCACTTCGCACTCCCAACCAGCATGGCCCGCATCCCGCAGCGGCGCCGACGATCGCATCATCATCATTTCGATTCTCGAAGGGCAACCTGCCGTGTCTCCGCTGGTTCAACCTGTCACATTCATCAGCATCGTGTGACTTGCTGGCATCGTCGGATCCACCAGTCATTGAAAACATCTTGCATGTTTGCACCAACGTCCTCATCCTCTCTCCAGAATCGCCAGGATCGGTCGCAGCAGGCTGCCGTCCTCGAACCCTTCAGCTGAATGAGCTCCTTTTCAGCAAGTCTTGGATTCATTTTGACATGTTGCCTGGGGGCAAAAAACCTCAGTGTTGAGGGAAGGAAGGAGAATTGTGAGTAAGTCGAGCGGAGGTCAGCGCCGTCTACTAATCGCTGTCAGTAGATTAGCTTTCCTATAGTCCGCAATCTTCTACATTTTCGAATAATACTCGATTATCGACGAAATGCAAAGGGAGGAAGCGTTCGGTGCACAGAAGAACCTCCATGTTATTTACAAGAGCTTGACGAGTGGGCACCTTGACTTCGCTGTGATTTCGACTACATCATTCTTCCAATGCAATCCGTAGGAGGGCTGGCTTTCGAACTGATGCGAAAGCACCTATGTACTTGGAGTGTTCACTCCTCATGCCTTGCGTGGGTGGAGCTCGATAGTTGCGTAAAGCTTGTGTATTAAAGGAAACGCATGCTTTTCCCATATTTTTTGCAGTTACATGATCAATCTCTTTCTATGGAGGTGAATGCCCATTCCAATCAGATTCTCCCCCGCCTCTTCCGGCGCACCAGGCAGCTGCGATGGTGCTATTCAGCCTGATGCACGCAAGCATGCGCGCCTGTAGCGATCGGCCTCATACGCTCGCAGCTGTGCCTGACCTCCTCTCCGCCGCCATCATTGCCTTAATCCCGCTGAAAATCCTGGTCTCCCGGTTATGCAATGCCCTGCCTGCCAGGGCGGCTGCAGCATATGCCTGGTAGCTATGTGAGCCGATCACTCGTCGGAGAGAGTGTCCGTCAGGTTGAATTCGCCAGCCTTGGCCTGCATGACACGAGCCAGAGTGAAAATAGAACGAAGTTTCGTTCAGCAATCTTTTCCTGTGCAATCCGCCGGCATATGGGAGCTCTGAGAAAGACTCACAGCCTCAATCGCATCTCTGATCTTCTCGTACACGAGGAAGACGACACTCTGCCCAGGCGCGACACGCGCAACTCTCGGAGTGATGCCCTTCCAAAAGGCGGCGGGTCCCTCTTGCCTGAACATGTCGCCCGCGACCTTGACCACGCGGCTCAGCGCCGTCTCGCCCTCGACCTTGCTGGCCTTCTGGATCCGCGTCTTGATCGTATCGATCGGCGCGTTGGTGAAGGGGCCGAGCGCCCCAGAGATCAGGCCAATCATCATCGTCTGCCAGTTCGGCAACTCCGTGATGCCCTGGTTTTTTTGCGCCCACGCTTTGAGCTGCTGATATGCCGTAAAGTTAGCCGCCTGGTTCGTGGCTTGCCGCGCGGCCGTCAGGGCGACGCCACGGTACAGAGTTGAAACGCCCTCCTCTTTGACAATCGTGTACAGAGCATGCGCGGCATTGCGGTATCGCGGAATTTCCAGCGGGTCTGCCAGCGAATGATACTGTGCTTGCAGGCGAATCTTGACGACTTCCATTGGATTCACGACAACCACAGCCCTGCCGCATGATTTCTTGTTAGAAAAGCCATCCTATGCGTTTCAGTCCATACTCGAACGCGAAACTCACTCAGTTGCACCAGCGCCAAGACCAGCTAGAAAGCAAGAGAGATATGCATTAAATATCAGCGTACCAAGATACATTGTACTCGTGCTTTACATACCCAAAAATATATTTTGTGGACTTGTAATGCCCGTATTCTTATCCGCGAGGAAGCCCTTGTACTGTTCGAACGAGAGGAAACGGCAGGCCATTTTCGGGACGATGCCGGTGATGACTGCACCTAGACCCTTGTACAGTCCCAGGGGCGTCTCGCGCTTGACGATACTTGCGCCCGTTGCGAAGAAGCCTCTTGGGATTTGCCCAGACGCGCGCGTGCGACGCGAAAGCTGCATGCGCACCTTTATGGTATCGAGGGCTGGCAGTGAAACATGCGGCGTGGCTGATAATGTGAGAAGCGCGTAGAAATGTGACACTGCAGTTACAGTGTGACTCACGATGACATGTACATGCCTCTGCAAAGCCGGCGATACCGCCGGCGATGAGGTGCGTGGACGGCGCCACCTTTTTCTTCCCGTTGACTTTCGACATGATGCTTGGCTGGTCTTTTGCTGCGATACTTACAGTGGTTGACAATGACGTTGCTTGCGTGACTGCCTGGGCAGGAGTAGGACAGCGTGTCGCGGTCGGGCCTGGTGGAGTCGCTGCGAGTGGTCAGCGATACGAGATACTGCTGTGGAGCGATGCGTGTTGCAATCAGGCCTATCAGAAAGGGCGTGTGTCAGGTTTGAAAGGAGGGTCGGACAAAGGAGGGAAAGGATGGTGCGCTGGAGATGAAGAAGGGGAGAAGTGGAGCTAGCTGCTTGTATTTGAGGTGTCAACGGCAGACCGGTTGGTAGCCCGGCCGGTTGGCATTCGCGCCCTCATCTGTTTCATCTTGGGGTGATCGAGAGGAGCCGTGCGCGGTGAATGAATGATGCAGTGTCCTCTGATCCTGTGGCTCGTCCACCGCTCTCACGCGACTGCAAGGTGAGAGAGATATGGCTGCACAATCGCGCTTTCCCCGCATCCGCGCCCGGCAGAGACGGACGAGGCGGGCGAAGCCAGGCCACCCAGTTTGCTCCGTCAAAGAATCCATCAAATTTCCATCTACTATGTCAACATCCAGCGCTCCATCCGGCTGCACACTCATTCCAGAGAATCGCATCGAATTTGGAGGCTGATATGCCGATATGAATATAGGCTATGTTCGCCTTCTTGACACGGAATCGCAACTTGTACAGCACATGGCCTTCTATGAGCTGAAGAGGTCACCCCAGGTCCACCAGAACCCGTTCACTTATCGGCCTCCTCCCTATCTCGCCGCTTGATCAGCAGATCTTTCTTTGCAAGCCCGCGCCTTCGCAGTGCGAGAAAGGGTGGCCAGAGGGCGAACCGTAAGGGCCGACTGGGCTAGTGCAGCACTAAACACCCCATTTGACGCTTAGCTGCTTTTGCCTAGAGTCATCCATTGATGGCTGGTCTGAGGCGTGTAGAGCGAATAGCAGAGGGAGAAGGATTGTGATATTTTTAACATGACTCGAATGTTCAGTCAAGGGTTCGGCGTCGAGCTTTGTAAAGAACGCATTAGCTCACTCGGTCGTCAGACATGCTTTGCCTGTGTACTGTACCAGACTACCTGCGCCAGCCCAGCGAGAGCTGCGCATCGAAGGTGCAAGACATTGCCCACTTCTGGAGTAACTTCAAAGCATGGCCTACAGTCTACTTTAAGGGGCCATGTACATATTATAATCCGATTCACCGTTCAAGTGTATCGATAACCGTGAGCTCTACAACAGCACCCAGACCAATGCGACAAGTTCCTGATCCCGTCCGACACGCTGCAGCATCAACTGGCAGCTGAACGATGTACGCTGAACACTGAACACTGGCAATGAGAGCATCAGCGCTGTCGTGGGCTATCTGTCTTCGCCTTTTGCAGTTTACTCGTGAAGTCGGTGTTTTGCTGCTTCTCACCAAAACCGCGACGAAGTGAGCACGGGTGCATACGAGTATGTACAGCACAAATCGGGCATCTGGAACCGGCTTGTGTACTCTCACGTCCCCCGGTCCCGAACCCCGAGCCCGCTGATGATGAAGACAACAGCCATCCAGTGCAGCAGTTGCGCCCACTCTGACACTCTCATTTCCCCACAGTGTTTCGCCCCGCCCGAATCGGAGTGAAACCCGTGGAGCGCAAGGGCAAGGGCAGCGCGCAGCACAGACAAGAAGCCAACATCGACGCGCGACACCACACTCACATTATGCTGGGGGTATGTGTTAAATCAAGGTGAAAGCGAGATTGATCATCTCATTCCTCCTTTGAATATAAAGAGTTGATGATAGCCCAACGGATGGCAAGCCAAGCGCCCAGTCCGTCCATGGCATTGACTTAAACGTACTGCAAAACTACAGCCCGCATCGCAGCCAATTCTCCTCTTGCCGCCTCAACTTGCGCTCCTAACGCGTTTTATGGAGGCTAAGCCGTACTCCTCTCCTTATTGAAAGACGCATTTATTGCAAGCCCCGATTGTCGACCTCATCGGAAGACCACTCATCTCACTCTTTTTTTGAAAGATGGCGTTCATCGCAAAAGACTGGCCGCTCCCAAGGGGCATCTATGGTGATATCACCAGGTAAGCTTTGGCCAGAGGGATCAATGCATTTCTCCAGCGGTCGCGCAGCACGTGAGCAGCACGCTCACATCAACCCCCTACTGCACTGCTTCCTGCTTTTCCTTGGGCCAAAACGCACCAACAGCACATTGTACTGGTGTGAAGAAAAATTTCGATGGAGCAAATACGTCGCAGAGCCGATCAACACCTTCACCAATGGCTTCTTCGTTCTGCTCAGTATATACGGAGCAATACAGGTCAAGCGAGAGCGACTTCTGGACAGATTCTTTTGGTGCCAGCTTGGTGAGTCATGTGTTTTGTTGTTTGACAAGATTATCGAATGCTGATTCGGCTCTCGCTTGGGATAACCAGGAATCACTCTCGTTGGGATTGGCAGCGCACTTTTTCACGGCACGCTGAAGTATGAAGCCCAACTATTAGATGTGAGACTTTTGCACACTCACATTGACCGAGCTCTCTGCTATATCTGACACAAATCCACTCTATTTCTCACCATAGGAGCTACCGATGATCTACGTCTCCGCGCTCAACACCTATGTGGTCCTCGAGACATCCCGGCGCGGCGCGCCCGCGCGGTACGGCGTTCTCCTACCTGCTAGCCTCTTTGCGCTGGTCCTCTTCATCACCGTTGCGTATGCAATCAACAATAACCCAGTCTTCCATCAAGTCGCATATGCATCGATCCAGGCCGCGAGCACAATCCAGGTGGTGTATCTGCTCAACTCGAAGAGCTCCCCCCTGGCGAAGGCAACACAGATAGAGGAGTCTGCTGCAGCGGCAAGCTCGCGGATGACAACAAGGAGTGGGAGCGCGAAAGCCAATGGTGCAACAAATGGCGCAGCGAATGACAGTGCAAAAGCCAGTGCTGGGATGTCTCGCGATAATGCTACCGCGATTGCTGGACCTGCTCGTCTACGTGAGGCACGGAGGCTCTACACGCTCGGAGCCATCGTCTTCATGACGGGTTTCGCCATTTGGAACGTGGATAACATATACTGCTCCTTCCTCCGAAGCACGCGCAACACACTTCGCGCCCATGGCTTGGGGTTTCTCACACCGCTTCTGCAAGGGCACGGGTGGTGGCATATATGTGAGTGCTGCTGTACATGAGCCAAGCGGCTCCAGTGAATAATCATCTACCATTTTTTGCCCTGGCTAACATTCCCCTCCCCGATCCACGCAGTCACCGGCGTCGGCGCTTACCAGCTTGTTGTCAGCAGTAGCTTCTTGATGATGTCGATGAAAGAGTCGCCAGAGAACTTTGAGCTGCGCAAAGGCTCGCTGCTCGGTCTTGGATGGCTTGCACCGACTGTCAAACGTGTCCACGAGTGGGACGGAGAGGTACCAACAACGAAGAACCAGTAGACGGGAGGGACTGACGAAATGATGTTGATGGCGCTGGCGATGATTGAATTCAGGCGCCGCCTGCTATGCTGCACAGTAGCTACACTCTCGGATAGATTAGACAAGGGAACGAGGGAGAGATTATGTGTGATGACTTGGCAGAGCTTAAACGGACTCTTTCTAGATCGAGGGTCGAACAGAAATTTTGCAATTGCATGCGTCTCTGATTAGGGGTTTCATTTTTCCTGATTGCATAAGGGCTTGGAAAAATGATTACAATGGGCAACAACATGAACGTCATGCCGGTTTCATGCTGCAACTTCAAATACCAGCGGCACCTCCGGCAAGCTTGATCTGCCCATCGAACAAGCATGATGATGGTGTTGAAAGCAATCAGAGCGTAACCTTGCGGTGCTGTTGACCTGCGGTAGCCAACTCCCGTCGTCCTCGTTGATGATGACGAGCGTGCCAGGTGCGGCGACCTAAGAAGAGACGGCCGTCTTGTCCAAGTCAATAAGGGCTTTGATTTTGCCGTCAGCCTTCTCGTATCGAATTTCGGCGGACATGTGTCGAGCATGGCTACGCGCGGGTCGTCATGCGAACCCGTGTAAGGACTGCCGCGGGAGTCGAACCAGCTCTGCACATGGGACAAATGGGTTTAAATGTGTCAGCGCGGTGCTAAATCGCATTTAGAACGCAGGTACTATTTCGGCCAACACACCTTAAGCTTGTCCGACCAGTGCTTGATCTTTGCGGGGTCTTTGTTGATCTTGGCGTCTCCGCTGATGCTGACCCAGTCGGTGGGCTTGGGGTCGTAGAAGTTGATGTTGACATGTGGATCTCGGTTGACATCATCCACCTTGCCGCTCTTGGTGTTGAGATAGTGCGAAAAGATCAACCCCTCAGTCGTGGCCGGTGCGATAGGACGCGAGGCGAGCTTGCAGTCCGGTGTACGAATGGACAACATTGCGACGCCGACTTGCGAGATGATGGAGTGCGTGCTATCGAAATTTCTTTTGGCGTCAGGTTACCAGCCTTGCCAGCTGCTTTCTGGGCCATGGCTGTTGATCGCAACCATAGTGACGAGGATGTGAGCAAAAGGTGGACAGGCTTGCAAGTCAGCACCAGGAAAGCAAAGAGAATCATATACGATGAAGCTCAAGGTCTTGAGCCATTTGGGAGACAATCCGTTAAACTTTTTTATACTGGGGCCGTTTAGTAGTTAAACGTGCCTCCGCCAAAGGAGTGCGAATGGATCAAAGGGAACATGCGATGGTGCGGATGAAAGGGCAAGTACAAGATCCAATCCGGCTGTGCGCTCGTCCAGCATGGCCTAGATCTAATAATACATACGTATCCATCATGGGATAGCTGGAGGTCAGAAAAGATCCTACTCAACGACGGCTGTATGGACACGTCGTCCTGCCTCGTTAAATATCACAAGCTGGAGAAGAGAGCAGACCCGGTCGACATCAAACAAGAGGGTGGGTTCGAAGATAACGTCAATCGTCCAGCATTGTGAACTTGGCGGCAGTTGTTTCACTCCGATTTTGCCAGGACCCCAGGTATGTGTGTTGCACCGAATCATATCGCTTTCGGCAGTCTCCGGCAACCGGCAGTCACACTCGCTCCTCTGGGGCGGTGGGCGCTGGGGGCGGGCCACGTGAAAACGACGGTTGACCTGCAGAAGTGCTTACGCAAATGCATTGTATGCAACTGCGTGGTCTTTCGACTGGTCTCCGATAGAGGACCACATTAGCACATATATACCACCATATCGATACTTTTGGCTTTCTTCCCTCAGCAAGGCCATCAGGCATCAGGTATCCGCCCTTCAGAGCTGCCTTCCACAGAGCGTGACGCATCGCGCAAAGCACAAAGATCACTCAAAAGTCACCCTTCTCGGCCACGCTATCAGCAAGCACCATGTCCAACGAGATCGTTGACATCGTCGTTTTCGGCGCGACCGCCGTGACTGGCAAGCACACGGTGCGCTACCTGCTCTCGCACCGAGAACGGTCCACATTCACTTTTGCTATCGCCGGTCGCTCGTCCAACAAGCTTTCCGCCTTGCGCGCAGAGCTTTCCATCCCAGACTGCGTCCCAACCATCGTGGCAGACTCGTTCGATGCGGACAGCATAGCTGCCATGGTCGCCAAGGCCAAGGTCGTCATCAACCTTGCTGGGCCGTACAACGTATTCAATGCCAGGGGAATTGTCGCCGAATGCGTCAAGCAGGGAAAAGCATATACTGACTTGACGGGCGAGAGTGGCTTCTACAAGAAGGTCATCGATGAATTCCACGACCAAGCAAAGCAGAACGGTGTACCAATTGTCATGAGCTGCGGGTTCGACAGTGAGTACCGCAGGGCTGCCCTCCTTTCAATCCATCTCCATTTACTAATTGATGCATTTGATTGATGTATGGAAGGCACCCCCTCCGACATGGGGACGTTTCTGGCTGTCCAGCATCTCAAATCGCAAGCTCCAGCTTCGCGCATCACTGATGTCACTACAGCGGTCCGCATCTCCTCAACAATTGGCAAAGGTACGCTGATGTCCGGTGTGGATATGGTGACGCAGTCGAAAAGGGAAAACGAAGACACAACATGGCAGCTCAAGTCTGTTCGCCCAGATGAATTCAGCCCGATCGATAGCAAGCGCCCCATGCCGTGGGGTCCCGTCATCAAGGCGCCCCATGGGACACGTGCAGGCGCGCTGGCCTTCTTCCCGCTCGCCTGCCACAACCATCGCGTAGTGAGCAGGACGTGGGGCTTGCTTGAAACTGAACTCAAGGGGAATAAGGAGGCATACGGCGATGCTTTTCAATACGCAGAGGGAATAGTGATGCCGAATGCAACGGTCGCTGCCATCGTCACCATTTTCGTCAAGACATTCTTGCTCTTCCAAATTTGGTTCCCACCGGTGAGGCGTATGCAGAACAGCAGCAAAATGTAGAGCCAGGTTCTGACCAGAGCGTTGGCATTTGTGCTTTCTCCTTTCACAGGCCCGTTGGGCTGTCCAGGCTCTCCCGGATGGCTTCGTCCTAGACCTTAATGGGCTTCTTTCCAAGGAACCTTTCATGGACATCCGCACTGTTGCGCAGTCGGAGGCTGGCCAGAGTAGCATCGCGACTATTTACCACAAGGGAGGCGAGTTAAGCTTTGAATTGCGCATCCCATGAATGCATCTGATCTGATTCACTCTCCTCTAAATTGTGCACAATAGACCCAGCATTCGAATCAACTGCACGCATGCAAGTCGAAGCGACGCTGACCCTCATTCAGGATCCTCAGTCGCTGCTGCTCAAAGGCGGTGTCATCACGCCCGCATTGCTTGGTAAACGCTACACCGAGCGCCTTGTGCAAAATGCCGGCTTCAAGATCGAAACCAGGAGCGTAGGCGGCGGGGATGATGACGAGGGAAGTAAGAAGTTCAAATAAAGGTCATCGCATTGCGACACTGTGTGTAATCGAGCACATACGCAATTCGCATCATGTTTTCATGTCGGTCAGCGCAAACGCTCGTCCATCCTGACTCCCGCATTCGACTTGACCTGCATCCCGAGCTGCTTCATCTTGCCCGCCTCGATGCGTTCATTCTGCACGCGCCTCAATTCTTCCAGCTGGGCTTTGGTCATGTGCGTCGCCGGAGCCGCGGAGGCGGCTGTGCTCCTCGCGCTGCGCTGCTGCGCCGCCAGCGCCTTTTCGTCTGCGAGAGGGTCGTAGCCACCAGTGTCCGGCAGCGTCTCGCCCGCGCGGATCATAGCCATGCGGCGTTCGTGCGCTTCCAAGTTATAGTATTTATCTTGAGGAAACGTGGCGGTGTTGTAGTCCTCGACAAAGGTGGAAATCTGTTTCTTTTCCTCGGATTTGCTGATCGTCTCTGGGTTGATGTGCCGCTCTTCAACTAGCCAGGTTCGGAACTCGCCTTGAAATCGGCTGTTCACGCTGCGATCATTCAAATGGACGCATTGAAATTGCGTCAAGATTGATCAAAGATCCAAAGCGGGGAGGCGACTCACTCCTGCTCTGAGATGATACCGTGCTTGCCATATTCCTGAATAGCACCCAAGTTGCTCTCTTTTGCGTACTTGCGCTTTCTCTTCTGCATCTTCCTTTCCTTCCTCGCTCGACGCTCCTCCTTTGTCTCCTTATCATCACGATGTCGGTGCCGCGAAGAGTGTTGTCTTGAAGTTGAATGATGATTCCGGTGGTCCCGGTCGCGATCACGATCACGAGCATGCTGCCCCCTGCTGTCATTATCACTCTCTTTGCCTCTATCTCTGTCGCGATGCCGACGTGAAGAATGACGGTGTCGCTCGTGCCTGTGATGTGAATCTGCGCCTCGACTTCGGCTTCTCCCCGAGCTTCCACCGGAGCTTGAGCTGGAGGCGGAAGAGACGCTGCGCGAGCGCGAACGCCTATGCGAACGCCGTTTTCGACCGTCTCGGTCGCGATGCCGATCTCGCTCACGGTCAAGGGTACTTTCATGTTCCTTGTCTCTTCTGGGATGGCTTTCACCATCATGTTCTCGCCCCTCCCGCTCCCGTTCACGATGCTTGCCCTTCTCATCTTTGTGAGAACGCATCGATCGGTCAGGGCTAAGGCTGCGACTGCAGCCCCTGCTGCCAATGTGCCGAGCCGAGTCGCGTTCGTGTTCGCGTCCACCGCGATGACCGCCTTGGTCGTCTGTCCGGCTTCGACTCTTGCTGCTATCGCTTCTGTTCATCTTCAGCCACTTTAGTCCCTTGAGCAGATGCGTACATATGGGCTGTGGGGCGCTCAGATAATAAGGATGTAGGCGAGCTGTCGAGAGTCGAGATTCAAGAACCGAGACTCATTGAGCATTCATCAAAAGTTGTTCCAACAAAGTGATGGCCTGATTTCCGGCCGAGAGAGCCCGGCTGCCAGTGCCGAGTGGCAAACCTTTGCCGTAGTGCGGCAGTGGGCAGTTTCGTTAAGCGCTCCACACCTGCGCCCCAATTTTAGTTCCCACCATTGGATTCGTGATTGTGCCGTTGGGTTTGACATCTGTTTGACCATCATCATGGACGGCTTGGACCTGCACTGCGAAGAATATAACACGGCCAAAAATGACCGGAAGATGGCGAGCCACCCGCACAAAGGCCGCCGCTGTCAACTGAAACGTCACTCTCCCACGCGCTTCAGCGAAACAGCATAGGTCTCCATTTCTCCGAGGCGGGATAGATAGCAGCTCCCATCGCCCCGGACGTCGCTGACCAGGTGACAACGATAATGGCCGCAGACGCAGCAGCTCCCCTGATGGGTGTCCAGGGAGGGTCTACAGTTCCCGGTGTCGCGATAAGCTGGCTGCCGCCCATCTCAAGTTTCTCAGAAGAATGGGCCAAGGATCCAAGAGCAGTATGGAGCAGTTTTGCCATGATCCTAGTCAGTCCGGAAGCATCTACTTGTTGTTCGTCTCGCGTGCTCATCGCTGTCTTGATCAATGGCAGGTTTCTGAGATCGGAGACAAGACGTTTCTCATCGCCGCCATTTTGGCAATGCGGCAGTACAGCTTCACTGTCTTTTTGGGGGCTTTCTCGGCACTGGCGCTAATGTCCGTCCTTTCGGCCATGCTCGGCGTTGTCTTCCCGACGTTGTTGCCCAAGACGCTCACAACTTTTTTGGCATCGGCTCTCTTTTTCCTGTTTGGTGCCAAGATGCTCTTGGAGGCCTTGAAGATGGAAGGCGACGAGATGAATGAAGAGTGGCAGGAGGCGGCGAAAGAGATTGATGGCGAGGGTGATGACGTGTACGCAATGGAACGGCTGGAGGATGCCTTAGACGATGAAGAAACCAAGGATTCAAGAATTGAGATACCCATGACCGTGCACGGCAATGTTGGCAGCATGCGATCAAGTATACACCAGCGAGGGTCATCCGTCCACGCGTCTCGATCAGGGTCGCCCAGCCGTCCGCGGCAATCGCGCCTGTCAGAACAAGGTAGTCTACGAGAAGGGGCGCGCAATCTCCTTTCGCTGTGTTTTAGTCGGACATTTGCGCAGGCATTCGTCCTAACTTTTCTCGGAGAGTGGGGGGATCGGAGCCAGATTGCGACGATTGCGCTGGCGGCTGCTCACGTGAGTCCATGGCGAGATAACACATCCATCTGTGATGGAGAAGCGTGCTGAGGAATTGGCGTACATGCGTGTTATAGAATGTCGCGCTCGTTAGCTTTGGCACAATTGCAGGTCATGCCATTTGCACCTGCGCGGCAGTTACCGCCGGAAGCTGGCTGGCATCGCATATTTCTGTCAAGCACGGTGAGTCTGTGTGCCTTTCGTGCAAGCATGTGCCCCTGCCAACCCGTTACTCGACTTCGGTGCTGAGAAGCTTGTTCGTCGATGCATTTACAGTTACACTCGGAGGTGCAGCGCTCTTCATTCTCTTCGGCATCATCTACCTGTATGAATCCTTCCTGCAAATACAGGACCCCAATCCGGCGCTCGCACCGTCGACGATGCTGAACAGGAGCAACACATCGTTGGCGGCTTAAGCACGGCGGTCATGAGAATCCGGATCCCTGAAGTTGTGGACACTAGTTTTTCGCACATAGCAGGTCAGCGGATACCGGGCTACATATCTCGTACAGTTTGCCCGATTCCGTTTTCTCGTTCTTCGCACAATGTTCTGAGTCACAAAAAAATACTGAGCGTGTTTGAGTCGACCACGCTGAGAAAAGCAAAAGTCATGCGAGCTCAACAACAGCTAAAAAAAGAAGGCCGCCCCACGTGGGACTCGAACCCACAACCGTGAGATCAATCTCCTGAAGCACTATCCGTAGAAGGTCTTTAAGAGTCTCAAATTCTGCCGATTGAAATAGCGAGGCCTTTCTCTTCCAGGTAAGATTATTAATAAAACCAAACAAACAACCTGGTCGATTACGTAAACGGAGGCATGGCTGCTCCTCTTTCCATCCCATCACTATCTTTGAGCAACGACAAAGGTGTTTAAGCATGATAATTGCCTTGCCCTTCTTATTTTATCGCTTGGGTCATGCCACGCGAAACCTCGGACACTTAGGCCTCAGGAGCTGCATAAAAGGGGCTTTGTGGTTGCCCATACGTATATTTGGCTGCTCAGTGTGTTCAGCGGGCGTTGGGGCAGAGGACGAGAGGCGGTGGCCCGGCTGAGCAACTGCAAGGTGCTATCAACATCGCGATATCGCCAGGTCAGGGATAACGCCGCCACCCACTCGCTATGATCTCCAATGTTTCTGGAAATGCGCGCGAAGGTGCAGAGCCATCGAGCGCTCCCCGTCATCCATACGCGGCCGCGTCGAACGGCTTCGGCGGCTCGAATAGCAGCATCGGCAGCCTCCATCCATCGTCAGCGCTAGGCACAGGGTCAGAAGCCTCTGCGACTGACGCGCAAGAGTTGATTTCGAAACTCGAAATTGAGCTCAAGGTCAAAGATGGAGCTGAGAACCTGTTACTTCTGTTGCAAGCTGAGGGGGACAGCAAGGCGGGCTTGAAGGTGCAAGTCGAAGCGGAGCTGCAAAGCGCTTACAGCAAAATACAGGCTCTTCAGTCGGCCATAGAGGATGCTCAGACTCGTGGTCAGTATGCACAACCTTCACAAGGAGACTCATTTTCGTATCAGGGCCATGAAGAAATCGAGCTCTCAGAAGACCCTGCTTCCTCAGCTGCCATTATTGATGGTATTGGCTATGCAAGGAGCTCGACTCACAAGGATCATCGGTATCGGCACGGTGCTTCTGGAGCTTTGCCGGACGCAGATGTACAAACCGGATCGTTCGGAGCGAACCTATCCATCTCTAGCCAAATCGGGGCTCCAGGTGGCCTTGGAATTGTGGGCATCTCGCCTCCAAGGGACGTCCTGACAGAGGTCCAAGGAACGTCTGGAGCACCAGAAGCGACCCGCATAGCAAAGTCTCAAGCTGAAGCACTTTTTGCCATGTTAAAAAGCTTGTCGCAGATGGACGAAGACGTGACGGTACAAAATGCGAGAGAGACAGGGCCGGCAGTGACGGTTCAGCGACGCATTCGAAATGCTCCCGGCCACATCCGCACTCCAAGCAATGCGGCCGGTCTCGGACAAAAGGCCAAGCAAAGGATGGACACCATGTTGCGCATTGTCAGCTTGCTTCGCAGCAACATTAGAGTTAGGTATGAGGTGGACGCAGCAGCACTGGTCGATGCCGTGCTCCCGTGTCTGAGTGACCCCGCTGGAAAAGAAGTGCGTGCGCACGCCTATCGTACGTTGCGACACGCAGTCGTCCGACCTCCGAAAGCTCTTTGCGACGCTTTCAGAGCCAAGGGCCTTCCCCTGTATCTCATGCATACACTTCTGCGTGACCATCGCTTTGAACAAGAGCGAGAGCAAGCTCTCAAGCTCATACGCGCAATCATGGAAGCAGGAACAAGCGGATCCAAGGTTTTGCATCACACCGGATCTCTGCAGGAATACATCGACATCGGCACCGTCAGAGCGCTAGTCGCTATTGCAGAGCAACCAGATGACAAGCTGCGAGACATATGCGTTGAGACACTTGGCGAGCTTGCCCTCATCGATCTTGAATTTCTGGTACGCGCCGGCGGGTTAGGACCTCTTTTGCACTCTCTCACAGAACACAACACGGATCTCGCCCCCACGCTGATGCGCACACTTTTGTCGCTGCTGGATGCACCTGCCACGAGATCGTACTTACGACCAGGGGTAGATTTGGAGGTGCGTAACCCTGCTTGGGAAAGGATAGTAGGTACATCAAGCAATACAGAAGAACTGATCTTCTTTGCTCTGCTCGTCTAGGTTGTGATCTCCGGCTTTACAGACCCTCCTTATCGAGCGTACGGAACCGCAGAAGCTGGTTTGCGCACTACTGCTCGCGTGGTATCTGTGATGCTACGAAGCTGGACAGGCCTGATCTACCTGTGCATGAAGGATCTGCATGCGATCCGATCGCTCGTGCAGGCTCTGCGCATCAATCCCAACGAGGCTTGCGACGTATTACTCGACATGCTTTACGATCTGTTCAATATGAATGCCGGCTCAGAGACGGACGAGGCATTCCATGCACTGAAACGCATGTCCTCATTCTCTCCAGCAGCTCTGAACCATAGCGAGGGCAAAGGCTGGGTAGCAGGTGACAATTCATGCAAGCACAATCTCATCGATCATTTCCTTGCCCTAGTTCTCATGATCTTCCTGGAAGCTGGGCTGCTCGAAGCGCTGGTACATGTGATCGAATATTATCCCGATCTCCGGCGAAAAGCAACACTACTTGTCGGGGAGGTGCTCAGTCTTTCAAATCGGCTCCTTCCGCCTCACATCATTCCGCACATCCACACGCTCCCACGACTGTTCACGTTGGCATCAAAAGCCGAAGATGCTGGGCCAGCTTCCCGCGATGCCGCATCCTCAGCGCTCAGTCTGATTGACGCCCTTAGTCGCAATCGCGTCGATGGCCCAAGTTCCGCGATCTTATCGCCTGTGGCTAGCACGCGGGCAGATCTACGAACGATCGATAAGGTGAGGCAGCGCCACCTCATGCAGATGGACGATATTGCCTTTCGAAATATGATAGTCGAAACGCAGGTGCCAGTCTCAAAGGATCACACAAAATGGCATATGGAAAAACTCAACGACTTGCTGGAAGGGGCCCTCCTGGATCCAAGGCGTGTGGAAGAGGCTATGAAAGGATCGTCAAGATTCTTCAAGCGCATGCTGGCATTCTACCATCCATTTTCGTTGCGCTACAGCCATATCCGCAAGAGTCTTCAGACTTCCATTATCACGCGCATGGGATGCAGCATGCTCGGGACAATCATGAACCATCCGGAAGGGTTCCGTTTCTTAGCGGAAGATCCCTTTCTGTCGCAAGTTGCGGAGTGCTTACTGCAGCTAGACGAGCTCAACCTTACTTCGACCGAGGAGCCCTTGATGACGCGTGCGCGGATGGAGGAAACGCTCACAGGCGGCTACTTTGAGATGATAAGCGTCTTCACGCGGTATGCAGCAGGGGTGGAGCTTTTGGAGAAGTTTCAACTTTTCTCGATCCTTCATCGACTAGTCACGCAAAGCCGACGCGCTTACATTGTGAAAGCGGCGCTTCAACACATGGACCTGGAAACCGATGGGCATCCTCGAGCCCTTTTGTCACACGCATTGACAGCTGGCTCCCGCCATCTTCGCCTCTTTGCGACTCATCGTATAGCGGTGCTTCTTCGAACCTCCGATGCACCGTCAAATTGGGCTATCGAGATGCTGCTTACTCAGCTGTTTGACCCGTCGCGGGCAGTCAAGGAGGCTGCTGTCAAGTTCATCGGCCAAGCTTGTCAGAGGCAACCTCTGCTCGACATGGTGGTATCCAAACGGCCTTCTTTGGATCACCTCGGTGACACCGGGAATCCGCTCTTACTAAAGTTTCTGGCAACGACGACCGGTGTACGACACCTGATCGAAGGCGGCTATGTTGACCAAAATATGGAAGACTGGTACACGGAATGCAATCACAGGTATTGCGTTCAGCTTGAAGTCTGGCTGTCGCAGGCTGTAAACATTTACAGGGTCCGAGGGCGGGGCGGACCCGTGCCTTTCAACGGATGCGCACCTCCACACTTCTATGGCGAGCTGGTCAAGACGGAAGCTGGATGCATGGCATTGCACGACAAGGGACATTTTGAAGAATTTGCCCAGTTCATCCAGCAACATGCCTTTGAAGCGCAAGACACGGAGATCTTGGGCCGCTTGAAGAGCGTGCTTTGGGCTGTGGTAAGTGTTGAACGGTTCACTGCGATCTCTCTCAATGCTGACACTCTTTCAATAGGGACATATCGCAACAGCGGAGGGTGGTCTGCAATTTCTCGAAGCTCACGATTTGGTGTCCACGATTGTGGAAATGGCAGAGCGGTCGCCAGTAATTTCAATTAAGGGGTACGTGTCTTACATACAGAGTCCCAGGATGATTACTGAATTGTTTATGGGTTTTAGAACTTGCTTCTTCGTGCTCGGCCTCATCAGTACGACAGAGCCCGGTTATGAGTTACTCAGCGACTTTGGTTGGATATCTGCGCGTGCAGCTTTCCATCCATCCAATGGAATCTGCCTACCGACAGACCTCAACCGCTTTGTGGAGCTGCCACTGTGGCAACCACAAAGCACTTTTGACCTACGTTACCTCAGAATCAAATCTCCCAAGAGTCTCGTGCAGCATGAAATATTGCAAACAATTGCCAACCTTGGCAACTCTATCACTGCAAATAATGCTTCCAAAGCCCTGGCCAAGCTCAAACTGCGGCATTCGCAACAATTTCGTAATCCCACTCTCAAGGCACGTGCGTTGGAATTGCTGAGCAGCTTCTCGTTCAAGCAGACTGTTCGCAAGTACATCTGGGACCTTTTCGACTTGCGCCTGGACGAAGATAGCGTGCGGGAGCTTCAAGAAGCGCATGCGGAGATTATGACTGCAACTGTGGCCCCATCAGAGGAGACCCAAAACATTGCGATCCAGCCTATTGCAAACGTGTTGTCTGCGGCTCGCGGGTCAGTCGATGAATCAGCCACTGGCATTCTTACCAACCACTTACACGAAGATGACAATCGAAATGGTGACGACGGAGACGCTATCTCAGATGTGCAAATCTCGAACGCTCTCTCCTCGGTCCCCCGCAAACCTTTGGAAGTGGGAGACGATGATGAGTCCTCTGTCGGCTCTCTTCCAGTGCAAAGGCTGGGACCTCACTCGAAGCGGGAGGAGCCGGACCTCAACATTCCTCCGCCAGATCTGGAACCGCGTCGAAGAATGGTGGGCGGCTTCGCATAAGGCCGCAGACTGTAGCTCTACCTATTCGCCCACTTGTATAATACATTCACTTGGTACGCTTCTTGGCTTTGTCGATGTGCTTTCGAAGCTTCTTGGACTTTTCATATAGACTTGCCCTCTTCTTGCTCCTGACCTGGAAACTCTTCTGAATCATTTGGAAGTTCTTGCTCTTCTTTTTCTGTTCATTTGTCGTCGAGCTCGGCGTGTCCTTGTTCTTCTTGCCTTTCTTGCTTCCAAACTTGTCCCGGTCCTCCCTTCCCTTGGCGATCGAGGCCATGCGCTCCTCATAATCTGCTTTGGCCTTTTTGCGCGGTCCAAGGATATCGCCTTCGTCCAAGAATGTGTTTCCCTGTGCGCCGGCCGCTCGTTTTTTGCTGGCAGCTGTGGCCGCCTTAAGCTCCTGCAAGGCCTTCTTTGAGCCTATTGACCCAGCCTTAGCTGCGGCTTCAGCTGACGCCAAGCGCAGCTCGTTGAGTTTTGCAAAATCAGCTGGTGTGAGGATCTGCGAAGATATCAAGGATGGGATCAGTTGGGTTTTCGATCTGACGCGCACGCAGAGCAGCTCACCTTGGTTGTCGCAAGCTTCATTACCACCTCTTCCGCAGCTTTCGCCCTTTCAGCCAGCTCCTGTGCGTCTTTGAGCGCTTGCTCTCTCCTCGCTTTTACCGCCTCACTTTCCTCCTTTTCATCGTCTACTTCACCAGCTTTCCGCCTCGCCTTCTCCACCTGCCGCTGCGCCTTCCATTGCGTGGCACGCTCCTTTGCGCTAGGTTTTGGTCCATCTGCGTCTCCGACCTTTTCTTTCGGATTACCATCTTCGTCCTCGCTGTCTGAGATCTCAAAACCGTCTCGCCCATCTTCTTCATCGCTGATGACGTCGATCCATCCACCGCCGTCGTCACTGTCAGAATCGCTGTCGCTCTCTAGCTCCCATCCCTCCCAGCCTTTTTCGTCGGCCTCATCCACCTCTTCATCATTATGCTCATCCAGGTGCTTTGCTAGCAAATCTAGACCGGGAATGCCATGAACTTCGTTCTTATCCACGCCAAATTGCATGGAGGATCCAATGGGTTCACCTGCGATAGCGGCCATCGTCGCGGCTTTGCCACGTTCCCGCTTGTGGAGCAACGCAGGGTTCACCTCCCTGTAAAGAGCCAGCAAACCGCGACTGGCCGCACACACGCCTTTGTCCTTACTCTTGCGGTATGCGATGAGGTCCTCGAGCAGGTCGCGCTCGGCCGAGCCTTCCATGACCGAAGGCTGTCGGCGACACACTTCACGAATGGTGTTGAGACCGGCCGCAATGACCTCTGGACCGACGCCGGGGTGAACGAATGCGTCGGAAAGCTTGCGAACAATCTGCACGAGCACATCAGGGGGCGTCTGCTCGTGGACAGATTGCGCCACCGAGACCAAGATGAGTGTGACGTGGAGTTGCTGTGGCGCAAGATACCTTGCAAGAGTGAAACGGAGCTTTCAGCATCGTTCAAAATTCGCACGAAGAACTATTCAACTCACTTGACGACGTAGGAATAGAACCCGAGAACAGCGAGCTTGTTTAAACTGATGACTCTACTGAGTAATTGCATGATCCTGACCTTGAGCTCGATCGGAGTCCTTTTGTCACCAATGCGAAGCATTTCGAATAGCTTGTCCGCAAAGCTCTGAGGATCATGCAATAAATCAATGGCTGCAGCGTTCATCGTCCCATCTCCATCTCCACCGCGGTTGGCCTCCTTCTGCTTGTTCATCTTGCGCGCTGTCGCTGCTGCTGCTTTGATCTTTCTGTCTGCACTGCGCGTCTTCTTCTTGACTTTCCGTTGGTGCTTCAGCTTAGACATATCTGGTGTATGGGCACTGGTCTCGTCACTATCGCTGCCGTCATTCTCGTCGTCAGATCCGTTTGCGGTCTCGGAGGCGTGCAGATCACCAAGGAAGAACCTGATACAAGAGGCTTGGACTTTTGGATGTGGGTGGAAGCACCCTTCGCTGATGATCTGCACCGTCTTGGCGTCTCTCCAGATGTTCTTGCGCCACAGCTCCGATGCCAAGCGCACAGCCCAGAGAGCCTCGCTCTTCATGCGGCTCTCAGCGGCAAGTTTACCTTTCGCCTTGCTGGCGGCCGAGCCAGTGTCGTTGATGCCGATACCTGCAGCCGCAACCTTGTTCGCTTCGATACCCTTCTGAATAAGACTGAAAAGCCATCCTTGCACCAGACTATTGAGCTTCACCGCCTTTGTCTTAAGGTTTGCGGTCTTGAGATCGGACAAAATCGTCTTTTGTACAAAAGTGCGCAGGGTAGCCGAAGTTGTGAGTGATAAGAGCGGGAGCAGTGTGCGAAGGAGTCTATTATGGACAACACCAAACATTGTCAACAAGCGCGAAGTGCGACATCGAGTAGAAATCGCACTTACTCTTCAGAGCTGATATGGTCCTTGTTGCGCAACAGGACTAGACTTTTGACACAACTGAGCCTGAGGTCCGGGCTGAGCGCCGAGTGATGCTGCAAAAGCAGAGTTGACAATTCTTCAGGAAACCCCTTGGTGATCTGAGGGTATGATGGAGCGAGCTGCGCAACGAAGGAAAGCAACGAAAGGAAGCGATTGTGCTCGTCTTTGGACGTCTTGATTATCTGTGAAGCTGCCGATGGCCCAGCCATACCTGCACCTGACCCGCTGGCGTCCATCCCGATGCCCATGTCGCTTCTGAGGATCCGACTCAAGGACTGATAGTGATTCCATTGCGCAATAAAGTCATCTCTGTAGCTGGCTGGGTCACGCTTGAGCAGGTTCTGCAGGGCCGGGAGGTTGGACGTATTCAGAAGACCGCGGGCCTTGGAGCGCTGACGAAGGTCGTCATCTGCAGCGGCTTTTTTAGCCGCGCCGCCCTTCTTTGAAGATCCAATACCGGGCATTTTGAGGCAAATAATCGACTGCCTCGAGGATCCTGTGTCCCCCTGTTGAATACCGCACCAGCGAGGATGTGTAAGAAGAGCCTTCAGTTAATCTCCTGTCCCCTTGGTCGAAGTCAATATGAGCTGGGGAGGGAGAAGTCGGTCATGAGCGATGAGACTGAGGCACCGCTAGAAATTTTGCTGACTGCCAAGTTCCGAGTTCCGCGTTTGGTCAGCAGGTATCTAGAACCTCTACACTCTCATATGAACATGATCTCATTCCTGCAACAGGGCAAGTGGGTTAGCCTTTCGCTCTTGAACAATTTCCCCAGCAAAGGTCAAGACGGGCGAAAATTCGGCCCCCTTGACTCTCTGTAGCTAGGATCAGTTGCAACGACCAGGTTCATCTCCGAGACTCAGCTCGCCCAGTAGGCGGCATTGGACGGAAGCAGGCAAGATGGACGACGACGACGGCATCCTCCTCAACTTTTCGGTACCCGCTCAGGCTAGCGCAAACGGCAGTAACAAGAAACGAAAGCAGGTCACCTCTAGCAGGCCTTCGCAACGTAACAGTTCCTCACGGACAGCCGAATTACATGTATCTCGTGATCACCTTGCACGAGCTCCTAAAAAGGCAAAACTGATTCCCCATCCAGCTGTTTCTCGCACCTATCGGGCCGTTTCTACTGGACTAGTACCCAAAACAGGCGGATCTAGTAGCAGATCTGCGACAACATCTGCATCTTCAAAAGACGGCCACGCGAAAAAGGAAGAAGTTCCTGTCGCCTCAGCTGGTCATGCACAACCAAGCTTGAATGCAGGGACGGGAGGGACAGTGATCTCGTCCCTTTTCACTGGCGTCTCGATTCCCCGCGCCAAACCATCTTCGACAGCCAAGAATGCATTAGCACATGCTCCTTCAAACGCACCACTGTCTGGGCCAGTCACCTTTTCCACGCTAGGGCTGCATCCTTTGCTCGTACAATACCTCAAAAGCGAGAAGATAGGAATTGGCGAACGTCCAACGGATATCCAGAAGAAGGCGTTGCCACATCTTTTTGCTGTTGGCCAGTACACTCTCGATGGCGATGACGTACCGCTGAGCCAATCAAAGCGGCGTGACGTGCTCCTGGCAAGCCAGACTGGCTCGGGAAAGACCTTGTCCTTTCTTCTGCCTATCCTGCATTCACTGCTCCCGCTCAGCAGTCTTTCGTTCATACACCGCAGCATCACAGGAACGCTGGCGATCATCCTTACACCGACACGTGAATTAGCTCGCCAGATCTACGAAGTGCTCGAGAAGCTTGTCAACCTGCCGTTGCGCCTACAGGGCAGCAGCGAGGCCGAAGGGCAAGGGGACGATGGAGACGACGGTCCCCGCATGTCGCGCTGGATTGTTCCTACGCTGCTTTGCGGAGGGTCGACGAAGAATCACGAGAAGACGCGCCTGCGGAAAGGCTCGTCCATTGTGGTAGCCACTCCAGGCCGGCTTCTGGATCACTTGCAGAACACATCTGCGTTTGACGTGGGAAAGCTGCGCTGGCTTGTCCTTGATGAGGCAGACCGACTCATGGAGCTCGGATTCAAAGAAACGCTCGAAGGCATAGTAAAGGCCATTGACGGTCGCCGGAAACTGGCTATGGAAGCGGCCCGGGAGGCGACGCGCGCGCGTGAAGGCTTACCTGCATCGGCATCAGCCTCGGCCGTACCCAAGGACGATGCAGAGGAGCTGGACTACATGGGGGTGAATTGGTGGGCTGGCGGGCGCCGAACCATTCTCTGCAGCGCGACCATCGATGAGAATGTTCAAATCCTTGCAGGCTCGACACTGCGAGACCCGCTCGTTGTCCGGGGGCATGGTGGAAAGGAGCCAGAGCAGGTTTCGGTACAGGAAAAGTCGGAGAAATCGGATGCTTCGCAGCTAGCTGAAGCTTCCAACTCCCTTGCAACAACAGCATCATCTGGGACGTTCGCAGCTCCTGCGCAGTTGCGTCAGCACTACCTCTTGGTGCCACCCAAATTACGGCTGGTCACGCTCATTGCGCTTCTACGGCAGGTTCTCTTTTCGAAGCAACGACCCGACGGGCGAGAAGGGGCGAATCGCGTGATCGTCTTTATGAGCTGCACCGACAGCGTTGATTTTCATTGGAATGGAGTTGGCGGAATGACGATGGATGGTTCTGCCGACAGCGAAGAAAGAGAAGAGGTAGAGGCGGGACATAAAGAGCAGGTCGCGCAACGGTGTGAGCTGCTACCTGGCTGCTCATTTTACCGACTTCATGGAAGCTTGCAGCAGGGCGAACGCATTGCTTCCCTCCGAGCGTTCAGCAGCTTGGGCGAGAAGAAAGCGAAAAGGGGGAGCAAGGAGGGTGCAACAGATGCAGAGGAAGGGGCGCCTGCGCCTGCTGAGGAGACTGGAGATCAAGGCAAGAATTCTGCAGCCGTGCTCTTCTGTACATCCGTCGCCTCTCGTGGTCTGGACCTTCCACATGTGGGCACGGTCATTCAGCTCGACGCACCAACTGAAGGCGGTGTGGAGGAGTACGTGCACCGCATTGGGCGAACAGCGCGCGTCGGCAAGGCGGGTCACAGCTGGACGATGCTGCTTCCGCACGAGAAGCCGATCGTCGAAAAGTACCAGGCGGGCATGTTCATCGATGATCAGCAGGGGCAGAGCTCTAGCGCGGCCAGGCCAGGAGACAAGAGACAGCGGCCACAGATCAATGAGGTTGACTTCAGAGACGTGCTCCTGGAAGGGTATGGAGGAACGGCGGATGAGTACGAGAATCGCGCCACAGATGTGCAGCTTGCCTTTGAGCGTTGGGTCCTGCGATCAGAAAAGGTGCGTCCGTGGCTCGAAGTTTCGCGGCAATTATTGCAGGGCTGTAACCCATAAATTTATCCTTGCTCTCACTGCAGGCCGTCTCACTCGCCCGCCAAGCGTACCTTTCGCACCTGCGCGCGTATGCCACGCATCCATCATCAGAGAAGGCGATCTTCAGTCTGCGCGATGTGCATCTCGGTCATCTGGCGAAAGCGTTTGCGCTGCGCGAGGCACCTGCGACGGTCAAGAGCAAAGCGCGCTTGGCACATTTGCAGCAAGACAGCGGTGAGGGAACGACTGCGAAGCGCAAGAAGGCCAAGATGGCCAAAGCGGCGTCGGCAGGTACCAATGGGCCCGCTGACGATGGTTCTTCGGATGGAGAAGAAAAGGACGGCCTGATGAAGGGAAAGGCCAAGTTGGCTTCGAAGGCGGACATGCTGGCTCTAGCGAGCAAGATCGGCGAAACCAGTGGAGGTGGAGCCGACGCTGGCGTGAACAGCATCATGGTGCGCAACAAGGAAGCAGAGGAAAGGATGTACGCTGCTGTGCGGCAGCTGGGAAAGAAGTCGAAGAAAAAGGGACAAATGGGCGCTATGGGTGCGGACGAGTTCCAGATCGTTTAAATCTGGCGCGTGTACTTCATCCTCAGACCAATTCAGAGACGCAGCCTCCAGAGATGCTGTGCCCGCAGAGCGCAACTTTTTTTAATCGTAGCATGAGAGATTCATCAGCTTTTTCTACCTACTGTCATGATCGCAACGATGCACCGCCGCTCTGAGTGCGTCGTTCGCCTTGTTGTCAGCTGAGTGTGCGCTTGACTCCATAGACTAGATCAAACGAGACTCACATTGATCGCGTCCATCTCAGCCTCGTCCAGCAGCAGTGCCGGAGTCTTCCAGAACCTCTCCGGCAGCTGGTGCAGATCTTCTACAGCGCCATGTTGGTGGTTCGTCGAGGACGCCTGCGATGACGCGCCTTGCCCTGACGATTGTGCTGCTGCCAGCTGCGCAGGAGACTTTACCTTGTCCGGGTTGAAATGCGGGCCGGATCGGTAGACCTCTTGGAAGTGCTTGAAGTCAATCTCTTTCGGTGCCGCCGGGTGTGGATGTCGTTCAGTAGCTGTTGAAGGGTAGGAGGCGTTAAGAACAGAGTGGTTCATGTCAGATATGCAATGAGTAGAGGTTCCAAAGGCTGCAGGACCCCGCAGCAGGTCATGGAGTTGGGTCCCATCTACAGCGTGCCAAAAGGACCTCGCCCCTCGCAAGCCCAACCCGATGCTGTAAAGCGAGTCTCGCTGCGACTCGAGCTGGGGACCACGATGACTTGACGCAGTAAAAGAAGGGG